CTGTGGTTCCAGTAATTCAAGAATTTTACAGGAAAAAAGGTAATAACAAAGATAAAGGCAAGCACTCACAAGAAAAACCCATTTGTCTCCACTGTCTGTAAAACGGCAGGAGGGGATTTTGATCCAGCCAAACTGAGAACACAGAGAGGTGCAGGTTCTGCTGCGTGATAACCACCCAAAATAACATAGATACAGTAAGTATTCTGCTCATACCACTATTTTGTTCATACTAGAGAAATAGTTGGCTCAAATATTTTAAACTGAGATAAATGACATCAACAATAAAATCAGAAAGCAATCCATCCATTTCCAGATGCTCATTTTGCACCTAGGCCACCTCCAATTCATTGAGAAAAGCACAAATACAAAGTGGCTGCACAGGAAATGAGATGTGGAAAGTTATTCAGAAAAGTATAGCTGAGCCAAATAAGTTTTTGTGGGGTTTTTTTGGTTGTGTTTTGTTTGGTTTGGGGGGTGGGGGGCTTTGTTTGTTTGTTTTGGGTTTTTGTGGGTTTTGGTTTTCTTTTGTTGTTGTTGTTTGGTTTGTTTTTTGTTTTGATTTTGTTTGTTTGTTTGTGGTTTGTTTGTTTGTGTTTTGGGGGGGGGGGGTTAAACCCCAACCAGTCCCATGAGTAATGACACAAAGGAACAGGGCAGCCCAAGAAGCACAGGAACATCTGGACTGTTTCTTTCTTTGACAGTATCACTTTTAAACTCCCAGGGACTGTGGCTTCCCTGACCCTTCAAAACACTTATAAACAAACCCAAATGAAATAAATATTAATAGGACAACACTCCCTCCCATTCTTGCTGCTCCTGTTCCTCACACCTTACTGTTGGTTTCACACCTCTACAATATTATGCTAAACCAAGTGCCAATGCAGCACACTGAACTGGATTAAGAAAAAAAAATCAACTAAAAAATTAGAATTTTCTTCAACTAAATTAATTTCGCCACAGGAAGTCATGATTAAGGACCATTTAGTCTAGAATATTCCTATGAGGAGCTCTATTGTTGAGCCTCCACACAACAACACATATTTTCCCTGTTTTCTAAGGTTTTAGTCAAATTCCCTTTAGTACATTTGAAACCACATGTTTCAGTTTTATTTGAAAGTGGTTATTTCACCACGCACAATAATGACTTCGGGTTGTTGCCCTATGCCTCCTTTTGATGACCTTTATTAGTTCAAGTCCAATTCTACACCAGGCATTCTCTAGCCTTTGCACAGCAGCTACCAAGACCAGCACCAGCCCATCAACCTTCTATCAGCTGGCACCACAAGGGCAGTGGCTTCCACTCTTGGATTTAACAGTCAAAAGGCAAATCAGAATGAAGTTGTAGGGGTCCCCAGAGATCATCTCTTCAGAGTGGGAACACCACAAATTCATTCATTCTTGCAGATTGCTTAATGTCTCCTACGTGTTCATGTAATGAAAATAGTTTGTGTGTATACTTTACCCTGCAGGTAAACCCACAAGGAGCCATCAAAAAGGTCAGAATACTTTACAGCCACAAACTTTACTTCAGAAAGTACCAGTGAAAATTTATTTCAGATAAATAAATTGCTGTGTTCACATGAAAAAATGAAGATAAAAAGGGTTTTAGGCATCCATTTATTTTGGATTCCTTTCATAATATTACATCTACTGCCTGGTTTCCAGAAATCTCATGCCCTTTCAAGTGCACTTTTAATCATAGGTTTTCAGATCTTGTTAATTCGTTCACATCACCCAAAATTGGAGGGCAGAGTTTTAGGTCTTGATCAGCGTGGCACAGCAAAGGGAACACATGCTGCTCAGCTTGGTCCGACATAATCTAACATCCAAACCAGTCCTTGCTCTCTGTACTCATGCAGCTGCCTGGAATCTTTGCTGGCAATGAACACTAAGACTGTAAGACAGAAACATGGCTGAAACTGAAAATGCCTCTACTACATAAACAGCCAGTAAAGATGAAATCCATTGCATTACAAGTTTCCAAATGCAGACCTTGGAGAAAATGCCAGCCAGTGGATGGTTAAGAGTTTCAGCATATTGGGCCAGATTCCAAAACACTCAAGCCAGTTAGTAATTAACAGACATCTAGGTCCTCTACATGAAAGAAGTCTATTGTTAAAACAGTGACACAAATTTTTCCTTTCCTTTTCCTAGCCAGTCTCTGCCTGTGTTTTAAGATTCCCTTAGGACTATAACAGCCTATGATTTTAGAACATCAGCTTCTCAAACAGACAATTTGTTAGACTTTTAGTTGCCAAGAATGCAAACACACTTACACCAGAGGAACAACAAAATTAATTTACAGATTTTTCAGAGACCCATAATCTCCTCTTTCTTTCATTTAATACCTGGGGGAAAAAGTCCAAATAACCTTCTACGATATCTACAATAGCAAAAGAATTACAAAACATAGTAACAAAACATACTGAGGACCTGTAAATAGTCTGAGTCCAGTTAGTGAGCAACATACCTATGGGGAATATTAGCCTGTGTCTTCATAGACAATGATGTGTTACAGCAAAATTTCTAAGATAAAACAAAGGCTGCCTCACTAAGACCATTTTGTTGGTAATCAATTTGTAAAGTAGGAATTATCTATGATTTGCACAGAATTGCCTGTTCTCTGTTCTGTTACCTTACTGATGATAGACGTGGATAGCAAGAGACTACACATAAACCACACGAACAAATCAATGTAATAAAGGAGAAGATTATATTAGAGTTGCATTTTGAAAGGATGAAGTGCAGACACTCATCTGTAAGGGGGCAAGTTAAATCACCAAGGGTAACAGGGAGAATGTGACAGAGCAGGAGCTGGCAGAAGTATTCAATGGACATGTTGACACTTTAAGAAGAGTCAATAAAACAAAGAGCCAAGCCCATCAGAAAAGAACAAAAAGCTCTATCAGAATTTTTAAAAAACTATTTTCTGAATGCCCATGACTTTCCAAAGTCTATGGCTTTGACTGCTTTGCTGTTTCCTGGAGTTTGACTGTTGTGTCTGTACCTCACCCAATTATATCTGGTCATATGAGGAACACCCCAAATCCCCACTGCATTCAAGGTGAAAAAACATCCCTGGAGAAGAGAACTAGATTAATTCCTTTGGGACCAGGTTCACCTCCTCCCACTCGGAGGAGCAACTGTACTCTGTCTGTCTATGCAATTGTTCATTTTAACTGTCAACATATGACCAGAACTATGTAATGAAAGCATAATTCAGCAACTCAGTCAACAGCACCATTCACCAGAACAGTCAGTGCTTTCTCTGTCGCCCCATGGGAGCGCTGCTCTCACCTCTGGGTACAGGTAGCCAGTCCAGATCCAGACTGCAGAGCCCCAGGAAGTTCACGCTGCTGCTGGAGGAGAGCTGCAGGCAGGTTGCTGGGATGTCAGATCATCATTGCTTGTGAGCTTCTGCCACCTAACAAGTTTGGGAAGAACTGAGCTTACTGGCTCACTGGCAGAATTTGCTGCTATGTTGCAGAAAGCCTATATTACAGTTCCAGGCTAAAAGCAAAATGAAGTAAACTCAAGCATGTTTCAAAAGTGCCTCATTAATTTTGTCCTAAGTCTTTAATAAATATGTATTTCCCATTCTTTTTGCTTCAAACAGCAAGCTAATCCTATTCATACTTTCTAATATATTCATAAAATTCAAAATTTGTCCAAGGCATGCAGTCATGTTCTTTCAGATTCTTCCAGCACTGGGCTCCATCTTCTCTGTATTTGGTTTATTCCATATATACAATTGTAAAGCCACAACATTTAGTATTCACGAGCACATGTATTAATAATTCAGCAAAGCAAGATTAATCTGCAAGCAATATCTCATAATGCAGAATATTCCAAGAGCAAGAAAAGCTTGTGCTTAATTTTAAAATGAACAATTACAAGGGAGAAGTCTCTTTTATAAAACATAAGACACTGCTATTTTATTGAGAGATTTGCCAGCACATCAGGAGTGCTGAGCCACCCTCTTCCCAGGAATGTTGCTGTGAGTTCTCTCATTCCTGTCTGGGAAGCAGGGCAGTTCTCATGGGCTGAACTTCAGCCACAGATGTAGGCACGTCTGTGTAAACATTTAAAAGGCTTTATAGAAGTACAAAGCAGATGCTAGACATCAAAATCTTCTGCAGGATCTTGGGTCAGATGAGAGCTCTAAGTCATGTAAACACAGCATTCCCATCCCCAGAATAATCACATTTCTACCCCCCGCGACAAAATTGGCAATATCTACAAGATTGGAAATATTTTCACAATTATTTAAGCACATCATGTTTATCTCTACCGTTTTAAAGTGGTGGCAAAAAAGAAGCGACAAAAAAGCAAAAAAGCACCCACCCCGCTTTTTAAGAGGAGGTTATATTTTTGCCCCTGTGAGAAACATCTTTACGTAGCCACAACACCAACACCCGCAAAGGCAACGCAGCTGAAAATTTTAAAGAGAGATATAAAACTTTATTTTCACATTTCGAACAGAAAAGGGCAGCAACAATTTAACGCTTCATACGGCAGCAGCGCAGCCAGCAAGGAAGAACAGCAGAGCCCAGCAACGAGGTTACGCAACTCGCGCACGTACCAAACGCTTTAATTTACGCCACATTAATGAGCAGAGCGCACCCCCCCAGACCAGCGGCCCCACCGACCGCTCCCCCGCTCTCCTCCCGGCCCCAAGATGGCGCCGGCGCCCCTCAGCCCCGGGACAGCCCGCCCCCGGCCCGCCCCTCCAACATGGCGGACGCACCTCCAGTCCCTCGCCGTGCCCCCGCCCCGCCTGCGCCGCCTCTCGGACGCCGCGCGGCCCCGCCCTCCCTGCTCCTCCATTGGCTGGTGCCACCGCCCCTCCTGCCGTCGCAACCAATGGGAAGAGAGAAAAGGGCGGTGCGCGCGGCCCCGCCTCTTGTGGGACCGCCCACATCCAGGCTCTCGCGCTCCCGGCGGCGTTGCGCCCCCTGGCGACCGGCAGCGCGGGTGCAGCGTTGGAGGAGGAGGAGGAGAAGGAGAAGGGAAGAAGCAGAAGAAGCTGGCGGGGGCCGGGACGAGGCCCTGAGGGGTGCGGGAGTGACCTGGGGCCCGACCCCTGGCCGCAAGCACGCCCCATGCCAGCCTCCCAGCCCGGCAGGCGCCCCGGCCCCTGCCCTCCGGCCCTCGGCGCGGGCCCTGCAGCCGTGGCGGAGCGCGGCGAGACCCCGACCTGAGCCGGGCTCGGCGCCGCCCCAGCGCGGCACAGCTCTCCGAGCAGCGTCCCCGGACCATGGAAGAGAAAAGCAGTAAGCCTTTAAAAAAATTATATATATATATATATATATATATATATATATATATGTATATATATGCGTGTTTTGGACAGCCATTTGTTTTGCAAGAAACATTTTTAGGAATCAACTGTCTTAACCTATTTTCCCGTTCCACTAAATGAAGTACCCAGAATGAATGGCAAGGTTTGGGGTTGATTTCTTTTTTCAGTTACAGCACAGAAAAGATTAAGTAGCTAACGTAAATAAGGCGTGTTTTACGCTGTCTGTGTCATTATGGGCTGTCCAGGCAGGTGGTGGAGTCACCGTCCCTGCATGTGTTTAAGGGAAGACTGGATGTAGCACTCAGTGCCATGGTCTAATTGGCATCCTACAGCTCGGTCATAGGTTGGACTGGATGATCTCAGAGGTCTTTTACAAACTATTTGATTCCGTGATTCATGGAGATAAAAATTTGGAATCTTCTATGTGGTTGAAGAGTGCTGTCTTACTTCTTAGTATTCTTGCAGTGAAGGGTATCTTGCATTTGTCAAGAAACAGGGTCAATAATTTATTTACCTTAAAAAAGCTTTCCTTTTTTCCCCTCTAAATAAATTGATTTAGTTATGGTATTGCTGTACTGAGCACATCAATTTAGGGAAAAAAAAACAAACAACTGTGAGTTAATGGGCGAGGGGGTTGTGTAAGCTCAACTGAATGTGCTGGAAAGTTTGGGTCATCTTGTGACAGCTTCATGCTTCAAGGACAGTAAGAAATTACCTAAGTAAAAAAATTTCCTCACATTGCTTATTTGAGTGTTCCTCAGCTAGATCTTGACAAGGCGTGGGATGACTGTTTGAAAGGGGAATAACTATTTCAACACAACATATTCTCACGCTGTGCTCCTCCTGATACCCACTGTAGTATTTACTTGTATAAATTTTGAAAAACTGAGTCACTACAACTATTTTAATTTCTCGTCCGATCTCTTACTTGTCTATTCTGTACCTCTTGCAGTGCTGTGTGACTTCTTTGAAGATGAGAACCTTAACAGTTCCAGGGAGGAGAGCACTGAAGGTAGTATAATCTGGATTAATGGAGTGAAAGAGGAAAGGAGTGTATATTTGGCACTGATTCTGATATGAAAATTACTACTGGAAGACAATAGTTTTGCCTTTTTTGGTGTAAGAGGTTTGTCGGCAGCACTACAGGAAACACTCACCCAGGTTGTTTATCTGGTGGCTGTAGTAAGCCCTGACCTTGGCTGCTTGTTGCTTGCTCTAGCATCACTCCCCTGCACAATGCTGTGTAAGAAAAGAGATATGTGGGCACAATGATTCTGTAAAGGAAAAAGAAAATCCTTCCAGCCAGATGCCAGTACACACCCTGATCTATCAGCTGGAGAGATGGTTCTGAATGCTGACAAGGTAGATGTATCTCATGGCTGCTCATTCCCTGTCCTTCTGGCTGCGATTGGTGATAGCAGCATTAGCACTGAAGAGATTAGTGGTGTGGACATTTCATTTTTTGAAATGAAAATTATACTGTCATCTTCAAATGCAATCTTTGCTTCTCCATGCAAAACAAAGCTTTTGCTACTGGAGTTTTGGGGCACTCCAGCATGAGAACTGGGGAGGCATTTCCAGGGTGAGTGTTTCATTTCCCTATGGCCTACAAATTGTTATAGCTGTGGACCCAGAAACAAGAAGCTGTTCTGTCACCCATCCTCTAAAGTAATCCATCCACCAGTGCTATCCAGATTTAATCATTCTATGGAAATATTTGAAAATATGTAATGAATAAGGACAGCAGCTTTAATCTGCAATGGAGAAACTTATTACTAGAAATTCTAGATGTTTATTTTTAATTGAATGTATTTTTAAATTTTTGTTTTAAACACAAATATTAAATATAGTTTTTGTTATTTTGAATTTGTAATAATGTCATGCATAGCAAAAGGGTGCAAATGGCACAGGGCAGGTGGTGTCCCTTGGACCAGTATTGTATGTTTCCAAAAATGGTTGTGGCTTTTTCTGTAATTGTACTTTAACCTTTCCACATGTTTAAAAAAAATTCTGTTAATATAATAGATAATTAAATTTTGTCAAGAGTTAATGCCAAATCAGACTATTTCACAACAAAAAGTACTTCTATCATTGCCTGCTGTTATTAAGTATTATGCCTTCAGGTGCTGGTGACACAAGCAGCAGGGGTTGTGGTGACAAAAGATTGTCACTTCTTTCACTGCTGTCATGGGGCTTTTGAGATTTTGTAACCACACTGCCATAGCATCACTGGGCTTCTGGTATCCTGGGCAACAGAAGTCATTCTCTATGAAGTCAAAAAATGGAGGAATATTTTTTTATATAAGAATGCAGCCTGATAAGAATGCAGTATTTCTTGACTGCTGAGAAGGTGTCATCCCTGCACATTTGCCAACAGAGGTTTGCTGTGTGAAAGTGGAATGTAAAACCTGTGTGATAGTGTGACTCCACCTCTAGAAATGGAGTAGGAGGACAGATTTGCTTATGCTTGGTCTTTGAAGAAGAGCAACATTAACTGAGAAAGAGCTGGTTCTTTCTTCTGTCATCATCTTTTGACATACTGAAACATATTTCCTTTTCACAGTCCTTGACAAAGATGCACAGCTGAATTTTTAATAAGAGCCTTCATGAATGGGGTTAGCACCTCAAAGGTTCTAAACCAGTGGCTTAAAAAACATTTATTTAAACAAAATGTTCTCTATAAATATTTCTAGTAGAGGAAGGAGGCATGATATATGGGGTGTGTTAATTATTTCAACTGATACCCCTTGTTGAACACAATTCTTCAAACTGCTTTTATATGAAAATATTTTGAAAGTTTTTTCCCTGACAAAACATGCCAAAACTAATGATGGGACAGGATAGTCAGCCTATGCAGCTAAGAGAGGTTGCAGCTATAAAAAAAAAAAATCCCAGTGTCTTTTGTCAAGTAAAATATTCAGTTCATTCAGTTGAAAATATTCTCCTGTGTCGCTTTTGTGAGTTTCAGTGATTAATTTTTAGTGGGACTCCTTTGCTGGTTTTTGAAGAAAGGCTTCCACAGCTCCCTTTGTGACCTGCTCAAAAAGTTGCTTGAAGGAGCACTGTGTACCATTGGAAGCCACTCCAGTTCATTACTTGACTTCTGTTTCACTTTCTTGATTAGGTTTGGGAAAAGACTTATGGAGGTTTAATGAATCCTGCTGTACTGACTGTTTTTTCAGAAGTGCCTCCAAATTAAATGAGTGGGAGCCATTGAATAGTCCATTAGGAGTTAGATGTTGCAGCGCGCCGTGTGGGGTGGCAGGGGCGCGACCGTCCCCCTGTGAGCTTTGCAATTCCCAGTTATCAGCAGCTCCGGCGCAGGGACAGACAGCGAAGACACGGGTCTTGGGGTGGAACAAGATGGGTTTATTCCTGGGCTCCCAGACAAGACTGGGGAGGTGGGAAACAGAAGTTTTTATACTACAACTCAGGAGGCGGGGTGTAGGAAAGTGAGCCAATGAGGATATGGTAAGAGAGGAGTATAAGGTGGGGCAAATAGTTTATGAGCCTATCAGGGAAAACAGGGAACGGGAATAATACCAAGTATCAAATGGGGTGTCGAGGGCAACAAGACAGACACAGAACTCTCTGGAGAAAGGGGTAGGGATAGGGAGGATTGACAATTTGGAAGGGAGAAGGTTAGGGAAGGGCTTGGGAAGATTGGCAGCTGGGGAATGGAGGGGATTAGGGAGAACGGGGCAAACATGGATTCAAAGCAAAACACACCACAAGAGTTAGACGTGTTTTTAGACTGCTCAGGAGCTGTAAATGGTAATTTGCATTTCAGGTGATGTGAAGACATTTTGGACACAATTGGGAGCTAGAAGAGTGGATGTCATATTTGAGCAGCTGCAAAATGTGCTATCGTTGCTGAAGGAAAAGATCAAGAATGGAACTGCAACAAACCAAGGTTTGAAATCCTTGTAGTGGTTAAACTGGACTGCAGAGTACCTGTGGCCTGCATTGTGTAGGTGTGATATCTGCCATAATCCAGATATCTCTGAATTTTAATAACTTAGCTGTTGGTGGTTTTAAGTACTTCTAAAAATGTCTTTTCTTTTTTAAAAAACAAAAGTAATTTCAGGTACAATTGCCTATTTTCTTGTTTCACCTGTCTGCTTTTTCAACAATGGATGGCTCTTAAGCACATGGAACTGAAATAATTTATTTTAGAGAAGTAATGAAATATCTGCAGTGCCTTATGTTTCATTTATCATCAGAAATATTAGCCTTTCAAGCTGTTGTCAGATAATTGAGTAGTTTTGGGGTAGGATAATAATCACCTCAGTATTATTTTTTGTCAGAGACACCATTATAACGTGAAACAATAGTAGCAAAATGTGACACTAATGCATTTCAGATTGCTCCTGGTTTTCTAGGAAATAAGCTTCCTCTGTTTACATCAAAATACATTAAAATCATAATTCTGATAAGCTGTGAGCAGTACAGAGATTTTTTTTTTACTGGTTTATTTAATTGAGTAAAACTGCTTCTTTTTATTAACTCACCCATATAAATGTAATCTCTGGATTTTACTGGGGTTTTTTGTGCAAGAAAATGTGCAGTGGTGTAAGATGCTTTTAAACTAATATAGCCACACACTCTGCATTATATATATAACACTTCCTCTTAACTGGCAATGCAACTTCTTGTGCTCTTGAGCTCCCACATCTTGACTGTTAAGACAAAATATCAAAGCAGTGCAGAGATAAAAGTTGAACTTGAATCCCCAGATGATGCAATCTCTGATAAATCTCTGATAAAGTTCAGTTTGAATTTTTCTGTGCTTTGTTCTGTAAAGGTTTCAAGCTAAAATATTAAGGTAGATTTTGCTGAGAGTTGTCTGCCAGCTTGTAATATTTATTGCATGGGGTAAGAGGTTGAGACAGAACAGGTCTCTTGCATTCTTCTATCTGAAGGCCATTTCCACCAATTTAGAAGTAGCATTAATTTGGTCTGCCAAGTTCCAACCCTTCCTAACCTGAAGATGATCAGTCTGATGACCAAGGTAGAAGCTTACACTTAATTGTCTTGATATATGCTGCCACTGTAGGCCACCAGATTGTGTGTTTGGAAACATTCCAGCATCTTTCCACAAGCTGACGGATATTCAGTGCCAAGTCACACCTACTACTGTGAGCTGTAACAATTTTGTAATTCCCAGGTGTGTCTGCTCAGGTCTGTAGGGCAGCATGTTTCTAGTAGTATCAGTCTTACAATGCTCTAGGTGAGCAAGTGAGGAGAAACAAGTGTCTATAGAGGATTTAATACCTTGTTTTACCTATTTTCATTACTTAAATTCAACTTACTATCTGTTTTGGTTTGGTTTTTTTGCATAGAGTGCTGGCAGGCTTGGGCACTGGTGAATGAAGCTAATCTAGGTGATCTCTTAACCTTGGCAAATGGTACGTGCATTTCCATTGGGTTTGTTTGGTATGTGGATTTAATTTGTCTTGTTTTACTCGCCAGAAGCTCAATTCCCTTCTTTGAAATCAATAAAATAGATCTGAAAAGGCCATTAGCATTACAGTGAGGAAAAGCTGATTAATAATCTCCTCAAGTACTGAACTGTGAAATCTCACCTGGGTTTGTATTTTTGTGGTTTGTGTGTGTATGTATGATACTTGTACCACGGAAAGAGAATTTGAACTAGTAAGCCCTTATGAACCCAAGCTCTCTGTGGGTAGTTATCCTGTGCATGACTCCACTGGCTGTAATAGCTTGGCATCCTTTTATGTCTAAAAATGAAGGCAGATCTGTTAAAGTGTTTCACGTGCATGTTCTTTCTGGTCACTTTGAAAACCACATGGAAGGTTTTTCAGTAGGACACTTGCTAATGAGATTTTTGTTAGCTGCAGTTAGCAATGCCTTGTTTGTAATGTGTTTTGTTAATTATCTCTTTAGTAACTAAAGTAAATTCAATCATAAATTGAAATCTGGTTTGATGAAGATTTTGCTCACATTCAGTTTTTTTCAGTAAGCGATGAGTTGAATGGAGATGGTGCACAGGAAACCAAACCCAAATTGCAGCCTCTTCTTCCAGATGACAATGCTGCAGACACTGTAGAAGCTTCTGAGAGGTCAGTGCCTTCATTTCAGTTCCTTCTTTGACATATTCTCTACTGCAGTTGAGAGAGTTCTAAAATTTGTATTTCTCAAGTCAGTGTTTTAAGCCCAATTTGAATCCTCTGAGTTTTCAAAGTGAAAATGTTTTTAATTTGACCTTTGTGGAAAACCTGAGGTTTTGGATAGACTTGTTTAATTTCCCACATGAGAACGTTGCAGAATAGGGTGTGGTTGTGAATAAAGGTTTATGAGTGTTATCAGGGTTAGGACTTAAGCATCAGTTCTCAGGCTTTCCTTACAGCGCAGATTGTCAGGTGTGTAACTTAGTCTCTCTGTGTTTAGTATTTAGCCTCAGGTACTGATTTGAAAGATAAGGGTAAATACATAATTCCTTTTTTTTTTTTTTTTTTTTTTTAATTTCCTTGCTGTGTTTTAGCATATAAGTTCTAGGAAGAAGCGTTTTTTTAATGCAACTAAATATATCTTTATATGTTCTTAGGACAATTTCAACATGTGAAACCTTGGGCCTTCTAGCAATGGGGCTAAAAATACTGAACTGATAAAAAAACTGAACACAGCACTGGTTGTCTAAGATGCTGCTCTGTTTTTTTGGTTTTTTTTTTTTATTTCTCTTTTATTTCAAATAGCAAAAAAGAGGATATGGAAAGAACTTGCTCAGGGAGTAAAGAAGCATCTGGCAAAATTCTAGGTTTACCTTCAAATGGGCAGTATCAGAACCACAAGTGTTCTAGTGCATGTCTTGCCAACAGAGCAGTGGATTCCTACAAGGGTGAAAATCCTCTGAAGATCCCAATGCTGTTTGACTTTCAAAGACGCCATGCAAAAGCAGACTGCCTTTCGAAGCCACTGGATGTGAATTACAAAGCTCCTTGTGGTCGGAGTCTGAGAAGCTTTCGAGATGTGCGAAATTACTTGTTTGAAACAGAGTGCAAGTTCTTATTTGTTGATCACTTCTCCTTCAACACGTATGTGCTGTTGGGCAGGAACACCATGAATCCTGAGCCCCTCGTGTTTGAGTTTGATATTAGCAACGGAGCTGAGTCTGTGCCCATCTCCTTCTGTAACAATCTCGACCATGCAAGATTGCCTTATTTCAAGTATCGGAAGTCGTCGTGGCCACGTGGATATTATCTCAACAATCTCTCCAGCCTGTTTGTTGATTCCTGTGACTGCACAGATGGCTGCATCGATAGGTAGGTAGAATGATCTCATCTCAGGCTGGTGACACATGATGCCTCAATAGCAAGGTGGTGGGGTGTGGAGGCGCAGTACCAAACAGGACCAGCGCTGCTGGAGTATCTTGTGCCATGCTTTCTGTTGAATGATACCATTGTGTCTTTCTCTTCTCCAGAGCTTGGGTGCTCCAACTGGTTCACCCTCTGTTGTAGGGAAGGAAGCGATCAACTGGCGAATTATTGTGTTCCTTTTCCTTTCTTCCAAACTGGCAGTGTTTCTTCTCCAGGTGGAGCTGACAAGCAGACATCTTGGCTTTGTAAAAAGAGTAGGGAAAGGAGTCTTGTGCCAGCAGAGGCAGGCTAGTTGTCATGGCAGGATCCTGCCTGACAATTTCTGCTGCAGTTCCTACTGTTAAATGGCATCCTGTAGATGGGGTGGGATAGCCTTGACGGATCAGATCATTTGGAACTTAGGGCATTACTGAGGGCAGGTGAAGAAACATCCCCATTCCCAACCTCTACATGTCGTCCTTCCCCTTGTCTAAACAGAAACTACAAAACTCAGTGGTTACAGATTATGTTTGTGGTCTGAACAGTTCAAATACTCTTGCTCATTGTAATTTTCTAAATCCCAGTAACTGAGCTACAGACACTGAAAACCTGCCACTGTTACCATATGCAAGTTTGGTGTTATTTTTGTCTACTTTCTGGAAGGTTGTTTGTCTGATCTCTCTGTATAGGCATTATTTGGTGTTACATCAATTTTGTATTATTGACATGTAGGGCAGTTGCACATGCTGGTGTGCAACATAGTTGCTCATGCTCAACAAAAGCTTGAAATCACAGCCTGGTATAATGAAGCTTAATTTTAGTAATTTAGTTTCAGCTGAGTGGTGAGAAACAGCAAGTGCACAGTCTGCCACTTCTTTGCACTAAAGTTCCATAAGAATTGAAATGCTTTTGATGTGCAGTTTTGGGGTTTAGGATTTGCACAATCACTGTGACTCTTTGAAGTTGTCATGACATACAATGGTGAAGACAAGCACTGTTGCTTGAATTTTCCACAGTGTAAAATTCTTCACTTCTTGGGGGCTAAGGAGGGAGGAAGATAAAGTAGTGGCAAACAGGCTGGGATGCTGTGCCAGGAGAGGTGAATTTTATTCATTTGTTCATTTGACAGTATCCTGCTTATAAGTTTCTGTTGTACTTCAGCTGTTTGCATGTGCCATTTAAGGAGCTTGGCAGAAGAATGGGGTTGGGGAGGGGAGAGGACATGGTTATTGTAAAGCATGGGTAACCAGCCAAGAGACTAAGAAAAAGGGTGCCTGAAACAGCCTTGTGGAGGGGGAGTACACTCTGTACAGTGTATGTGTGTGTGTAGTCAAGTGCATTTCAAATTACCTAGATTTATGATTGTTTTACACTATTTCACTTCCATTCTGAGATGTTTTACTCTTATTTTTAGGTCAAAATGTGCATGCCTACAGCTGACAGCAAGAGGCTGTAGTAAAATTTCTCTGTCTCCAGGTAGTAAAAGATCTTGTGGATACCATTACAAAAGACTGGAGGGACCTGTTTCTAGTGGGTAAGAAAGACTACGGGAGTAAAATAAGAGCATACAAGTAAAACAGCAGTTAATAGTTCAGTCTAAGTGCCACAGGATTAAAATAACTGGAGTTTTTTGATTACCGAAACCTTCTATTTTTGACACAATTTTAGTGACAGATCAGGATGATAAAAATTAATGTGACTTGAATAAAAGGAGGAAACAAAACTTTTGTATTGCAGATCCTACAGTTTTTACAGCTTAGGTCAAGGTCCAGGAGAAGTGTGAAGAGTGACCAGAATCCTAAAGACACATCAGCCAGCTGCTTTTGCTAGACTTGGTTATGGGTGACTCTTCCAAGAATCTCCAAAGCCATCCAATATTTCAAGTGTTTGCCCTTTCTCTTATTCAGCTCATGTGGATTAATAGGTGGCCTGGAGAAGATGCCAGTTACTTCAGGTGTCTAGGAGAGGAATTATGTAAGGTAGCTTTCTGCAGTAGCCAAAGGCTTCAATCTACAGGCTTGGGGAGCCCCTTTCAGTCCTCTGTGTGATGTTAGTTTTTGGCTGACGTGGAGAATTAAAATTGTCGGAGAGCCCAGAAACAGATGCAAAAAAAGCACAATTATGAGTCCTTTTGGAAATGCTTCTTTAGCATTGACAGCTACAGTGAAGTCCAGGCATATGTTGTCTTGCTAAAATCAGTTCCAGTGTAAAATTAGGTACTTCTTAGGGATTTCTGTTTCTGTGTGATTTACTCCTATAAAACAAAAATATAGCATTTATAATGCCAAAATATATGTGGTCTTATGTATACTTACGCCAAAATCTGGCAGACAGACTCTTAAAATTAATGAACCAGCAGTCAAGAAAGTCACATGCTTCAGAACATTGCTGCACAACCAGTTTTAGCCAGTCTTTATATTTCAGCCCACTGCCTTGTTGATGCTTGGAAGGGGAATTAATAATAAGAATTTTATTGTGCTAATGCATCCATTTATATTTTGCTTTGTGTTTCTTCTCTTGACAGGATTTATGAGTGTAGTGTGTTGTGCAGATGTGACAAGCTGATGTGTCAGAACAGAGTTGTACAGCATGGCATTCAAGTCAGGCTGCAAGTGTTCAACACGGAAAAGAAGGGCTGGGGTGTCCGCTGCCTGGATGACATTGACAAGGGGACATTTGTTTGTACTTACTCAGGTAGCAGGAGCGGAACTGTGAAGACATGTAGCATAATTCTTCCTCTCCCATGGTGTGTGCCCTGGATATTTTTTTTTGAGAACAGGGAAATACAGGGTTGGAAGAGAAGTGTGTCAGTGTAATCTTAACTTGCTATATGGTCAATATTAAGAAAAACTGTGAAAAGCTCTGTTATGAGATGGTGATAGACAAACAAATGGAGCAAAAGGTATCTCAGACTGCTGATTTTTTCCCTTACAAATCTGTGCATCCTATGCCAGGGCTATTTTTTTTCGGTAAAAATCATAAAATCATAGAATTGTTTAGGTTGGAAGGGACCTTAAAAAACATCTAGTTGCATTCCTGCCATGGGCAGGGACACTTTTCACTAGAGCAGGTAGCTGAGGACCACACCCAAAGTGGTCTTGAACACTTCCAGAGATGGGGCTCTCACAGCTTCCCTGAGCAACTTGTGCCAGTGCCTCCCGCATTCACAGTGAAGAAGTTCTTACTACTGTCTAATCTAGATTGCTCTCTTTCAGTTTAATACCATTGTCCTTTGTCTTATCACTACATGCCCTTGTCTAATTCAGTTTGTACTTCAGCCTATATTGACATAATAGAATTATAGCCAGCATTCATAATTTATTTTCCCAAGCAATACTCTTGTATTTATTAATGTAAGTTTGACCTGTGATAGTGAGTGTGACTCAGCAAACAAGGATTGAAAAAGAAAAAAACAGGAAAACTTTTCTTTTTCTTTCAGGTAGATTAATGAGCAGAGCTGAAGTACTGGGAGATGCTGAGCAAGAGCTGAAGGAGAAAAATGCAGTGAATGATGGAGGCCATGACTTTTCTTCCAAAAAAAGAAAACTTGACCTTGATAGTTCAGACTCAGTGATTGAACTAGTGCAGACTGACAAAAATGACATTCTTGAGAATCAGGAATCATTGTCTCAGTCTGCGGATAATGAAAATAAATCAACCCTGTAAGTTTAGCAAAGTAAGCTTAAGCATAACAAAACTAATATTCTGCTAATCTCGAAATTCTGTTGTATAACTCAGAGTATGTCCTGATATGAAGGTTGTGGTTTTTTTTCTTTCTGAACTTCTTTTTAAATTGCCAATTATTTCTTCTAGTGGGACAGAGTTTTCCCTCTGTATTAATTTTACTTGTGCATACCACTTGGCATTTTCTAGAAATTCAGTTCATCTCTTGGGTGTACTTGATCTGTTCAGGGCATTAATGGTAATGCTAATTTGAAAGAATTAATAAAATATACTTGAAATAAATTGTTTTAAAATACTCAAAGACACTGAAGGGTTTGATAATACATCAGCCACCAGGTGTACTGCCCTTTGCTCCCAGACTCTAAACCTTTTGTTATTCGTAACATAACCTTTTCTGCCAGAAACCTTAACCTTTTCTGTTAGGAGTCTGACAACACCTCACTTTTGCAGTCAGCATGTTTTCCTAGTTGAAAGCTGTGCTGTCAAAACTGTTGAAAGTAGTAGCAGGAAAAGGCAAAGCTCTGTAGGTGCTCTATTTTGAGATAATTTGATATAATAATAGTAAAGCAACAATTTGGTTCTCAGCATGACAACTGGAAAAGTATGTAAAATCAGCTGCTGAACTCTCAAAAAAGTTTGAGCAACCACTTTCTTATAAATGCAATAGAAAACCTAGCCTAGGTTCTCAATTCTTAAAAACAAAATACTCACAGAAGATGGGGTGAGGCCAGACTGTGGGCTCTGATGTAGTTCCTCTAGAGAAGAGACTGGAACTTGAGACTGTTAGAGAAATACATGTTGTGAGAGTTACTTATGAGTCTGTTTGTCTTTTATCATTTCCTTTTGACCTTTCTGTGCAGGGTTCATCTAAAGAACTCAAGTAATCCAACTATGAGAAATCCTGGAACCAAAACACTTGTTTTTCGCAATCACCAGCTAAAAATGGTAGTAAGTGGCTTTAACAGATTAATTTTTCACTGTGTTGAATATGTCTGTAAAGTTGGACATTTTCATCTTGTGTGTTTAGATAGTTCTAATGACCTTTCTTCAGGAGATTGTGTCACACTGTGAGCTAGGCTGTCATGCTGGAAACTGCATCCCATCCACTCTCCATTACCAGTCCTTCAGCGTGTTCCCCCAGACCAGCACTATCTACTCCCATGGCCTTCCCTTCTTCACCCTTCACTTACACTCCTCAAGAGCCTGAAGTAATTATTCTCCCCCTGCACCCCTTGTGTACAGAGTTAGGGGGTGAGAGTGATAATATTTTTGTGATATCTCCCCTAAGAATGGCACAGCAGGAAGAGAAGTGAATTTCACGATGTCTATGCAGTTTTCTCATACAGTGGCAGAGTTGGGAGAACTGACCTGAATGTGACTACTGACCTTTCATGAGCGTGAAACATTGCCTGCAAACATATGCAAAGGAGGAAAACTAGTGTAATCTTATGCTGTGGGTTTTTACTGGATTCATTGCCCTTAAGAAATGTGCATGGAATTTTCATGCAAACATTTTGCAGTGCTGTCCATTCTAGAGGTCCCGTAACAAAATGCCTTGTTGTGATGGGAGAGGAGAAACTCTTCCACATCTGGTCATTTCATTGAAACTGTGTAAAAAGCATGTTTGGAATTTGGCTCAGCAACTTACAATTCTACTGAAATTGTTGGGACTTAAGCACTTATTTACATGTGTTATTGACTGAGGGACTCTCTCCTGCTTATTATGAAGGAGAATTTGAAATTAAGATAAATTTTGCATTGCAGTAAATGAATTACTTTTCCAATTCAGCCACAGTTATGCATTACTGTAGCTTTGAAACTTCAGCCTTGGAATTCTAAAAGCCACTTGCTATGCCCTCTTGGCCCAGAGATGTATGCTGCATGTCACAGCCTTTTCATTTGATACACAGGTACACAGTGCCAGCTCAGATGGAGATGATAGCTCCCAGATTCATCAGTCAAGCAAAACAAAACTAACCAGTGGAACAAAGAAAGGAAAAGAAAGTAGGTTTGCAGAGCTCTATATACTGCATGCTTTGTACAGTTGTGTCCCATCAGGTAATAGACTTTAATGTAGACAGTGTGGGCAGGCCAGTTCTTAGAGTAGAACAGTGTTGTCTGTAGATGTTGAGACATGTTGAACTGTCCAGACAGCAGCTTCTCAAATACTGTGCAGCTGTGGGGAAGTCAGCCTTGCAGATGTCACACCCAGTACCTGTTCCAGCCAATAAAAATTGAACAGGATATAATACTGGGGTGGAGGGACCTCAAGCTGGAGAGGCAGTGTGAAACTGATGCTATTTGCACATGCATCTTGCTTCTGTCTTAAGTACAGTCTGTGATTCTCTTAGGAATTAAGGTGGAGGATGATAAAAAATGCTATGTGGGAAAAGTCAGTGTGGAATGGGATTTGAGAAGAGACACTAGGTCACTCAGAGGTACCTTGAGCAAGTGCTTTAGGCATCACAGCAGGAAACAGTCAGTTGTGGAAGAATTTATGAGAGACATAGAAAAATTGTGTTACATACTTGCAGATAGCAAGAGAGCTGCATAGATTTTGGAGGATGTGGGAAAAGTGCATAGCTAAGAGTTCAGGGCCAAACAAGGGAAAGGGTTTGGCCTTAAACTGGTGTTGAGAAGTAACATACATATCCATTGACAGAATCTATGCAGCAGCAGAAGGAAGAACATCTGATGGAAATTGGACAGACTGACTCTGCTGGTGTAGAGAGTGCTGGATGCAGAAGAAAGAGTCTGCTACTGCAGGGTTTTGATTGTGGCAAGTCCGGTGTGCTGGATGACACATGTGATGTGAGGCCATCCAACAATGCACCCCTAAAAGCTGACTGCAAAGAAAATAGCAGGCAGCCAAAACAAGATGCACTTTGTGAGGAGTCTGATGGTGATGGGATGCTTCCCAAGAATGCTAATGAAGAAAGTATTTATGTACTGGATGCCACAAAAGAAGGAAATGTGGGTCGTTTTCTAAATGTAAGTACTAAGTTGCATGGTTCTCTTTGTTGCCTCTGCAAATACATAATTTACTTATTTAAGCTTTTTTACATAACCAGTGTGGGTGATGGGCCCATGACAAGAGAGGCACATGTGATACTCCCTGCCATCACAGGTGCTTGGGGTCACACTGGCTGTTCAGTTGCCAAGTACCTCCAGCTAAGACAAATAGTTCATAGACACATCTGCAGGTACACTGCAAATAATTTATTTCTCTTCATTGGCATGTGTATGTCTTACAGCAAAGCCCTTGAATATGTTTAAATTGTTCTTCCTTGCAGAGGTAACATGGTGTTAATATTAGCAGTGCATCTTGCAGAAACCCTCCTTCTGTTCCCGTGAGCATACATATGTTCCTACATGTACCTGAGTGACCTTTCACATCCTGTACTTGGATGTAATCCATTGCTTGCTCCCTAGCACTACTGCCCTGGAAATGGCATTGGGTGATAAACTTTCCATGTAGGCTTGGGAGGGGAAGGAAGAAACTACTTCTATTGGTGACAGATATCTTGACACAAAATAGTTTTTTTCAGCCAACTATATGGTTGGACTGTTTCTAATTCAGATTTTCTGTTTTACAGCACAGCTGTTGCCCAAACCTCTTTGCACAAAGTGTGTTTGTAGAAACTCACAACAGAAGTTTTCCATGGGTGGCATTCTTCACAAACAGGTGAATTGCTGGAAGTTTAATGTTATTCATTCAAGGCACCAGAAGGAAAAAAACTCTGCTCACTTATTAGAGCATAATTACACTGAGGAGTGGGGCAGATGCTCAGATCAAAAAGGAAAAATCGTCTTATAGGTGACTTCTTATTGTGCACTAAAGGCAGAAGAAATGCAGTGATTGATTATCACTAATGAGTTTTGCTTCAGTTTTGCACTGAAATGTTAAGTAGGGAGGGTAAATTTTGATGTGTCCACTTCAGTGATAATCTTCTTCAGTAGAAAAATAGGTTTAACTCAGCATGGTCATTCAGAAAGCTAAGATCCACTCATCCCACTGTTGTGTCTTAAGGAATGGCCACCAGATCTGCATTGCATAGGGCAGGATTGAGCCCCACAGGATATTAAGGTTGAGACACTTTGTGGGCCAGACAAGCTGGCTTCAGTCCTTTTCCTCAGAGCTGTCAAGATAAGCAGGACTTTATGTAGCCCAGTATGTCCTGGGGATGTGACAATAGGATACTCAGAGGTGAAAATTTGTTCTGAAAGTGAGCGATGCAGGTATTTCTTTAGTGTCTAACAGAGAGGTACAGAGAGCTGGTGCCAGCAAGACACAGTATGGCAGCAGCTCAACCCAGGAGAGGAAAGATTAATTGTGTGAATGAAATTGGCTGACATGCATGCCAGCAGTAGTACTAGGTGAGAACAGAACAGAGAGGAGAGACTTTGTGCTGACAAACCAGTTCCAAGGAACACTCATCTTCTGTGGAGCCTTGCAACTCTGCTCCATACTGACATAGATGCTGTGGACTGCACTGGGAAGTCTCCAAGAACTGTGAAGACAATGCTTTGAAATACATCCAAAAAAGAATTTTGTTTTAGCTAGAGTCTTTCTTGCTCAGGTACTTGGTAGAGAAGTGTAGTGAGGACTGAGGCCACTGGAGAGAGATAATAGTGACCAGCAGACACTTAGGGAAGATTGTTGAAGGAGAGTTCCCTTCACTGGCTCTTCCATTTTCTGGGCATCACCCTTTTACATCCTTTCTAAATTAAGGACTTCATCTGCATCATTGAGCTTAATTGCGTGCCTTCCATGAACTTGCCCAGTCACCTTTTTTTTTTTTTTTTTACATGTCTGGCCTCTAGACCATCTCAAGTCAGCAAGTCCCAGGCTGCAATTACATGCTGTATGGAAAGTCCTCATTGTTTGTTGTCAGTCAGCTGCCTAGTAATTCACTGGATGTCCCCTATACCATATCCAGTGAGAAACATCAGAGAATTACTCTCTTCTTCACAATATTCATATTTTATTATATTTTCCATCACTTGTCCCTCAGCATCATAGTCTCAGATATTTAGTTTGGCATTCATTTTGGACAATGAATTTCCTACCTTAGATATTTCTTCTATTTTACTACCAGAGCAGCTGGTTCCTGAAGAGCATGTGTTTAATTCTGAGTTCAGGCTTTGTGCACATAGTGCAATTGCATTAAAAAGTAGCCTGTCAGACAAAAGATAACAGTCTTCAACAATATATCTAGAGCTCTGTTCAAACTTCAATGATGCACTGTACATAGGAAAAATAACAAAACTGTGTTATTCATTTGGATATATCACATGGTTTTCCCTTTTTATTTTTTTGGGGGGGGGCTGGTTTGGGTTTTTGCTTTGGTGTTTTTTGTTTGGATTTTTCGTTTTGTTGGCTTTAGTTTTGTTGTGGGCTTTTTGTTTGATTTTTGTTTCTCAGAATTTCCCTCTAAGTAAGAGCACATTGTTTAGATTCCAACCCTATTTGCAATTCCATAGCAATTTGTGTAGCCAAAGGAGCAGGAGTGTGTCAACGACTCCTTGTATGCCTTGTTTCCTTCCCAACAATCTGGCTGTGTGATGCTCCCTGCCCCCTACAGTTTTTGGGTTTGTGTGTCAGTGGTGACAAATTGTTAGCACTGTACTGTTTCACTTAGTTCAAGCAAATTGACTATTTTATTTCTTAGACATGTGAAAGCTGGAACCGAACTCACATGGGATTATGGATATGAAGCTGGAAGCATGCCAGAAACAGAGATTTCCTGTCACTGTGGAGTTCAGAAGTGCAGGAAAAAAACCTTATAGGCAAAGCTTTCCTACTGTCAGTACATCTTGTACCTGGGATTTATATGCTGGAAGGGATGACTACTCAGCAAACAGCCCTCAAGTCTGTGGTGCTAATTGCATTCAACTAAAATGCCTTTCACCTGATGATTTTTTAAATTTACATTTAAATGTCACTTTAGTAGTTTACAGAATTAGAACTGTTTGTCCAAAGAACAGGCATCATACTTTTCCGAGGTAATTTCTGTTCTCCTGGTCTTCCTCCTCTTCTAATCCACAAGCAAAGTTCATAGTGCACTGGAAGAATTTGTGCTCCATGCCATCTGCAGCAGAGACATGACTGATGAGAGCAGCAGTTCCTTGGTGCTTTCTGTGTCCCTCCACAGTGCCGAGTTAGCAAAACTCAGGTTTCTGAAATTCATTATGGATGCAAGACTGCCTGTCTGGGCACTGGGAATTGTTTCAATACACCTAAGCCTGTTGCATCCAGTGGGACAAATAGCCCTGGACAGAGACAGCATTAAACAGAACAGTTCTGCAGAGCTGTGTTTCTGCTACAAAATGAGCTGGACAAGTCCTGCTGCAGCAGGAGCAAAATGACTGGGTTTTGTTGGATTGCACTCCTCTCCACATTTGTGACGCACAGAGAAATCCTTGAGAAATCCAGTGTGCCTCATCTCAGTGCCATATTGTGTATGGGGCAGGTTGGCCACAGAATTCCTTACCACGTGGTTTGTGGGTAAGAGAGAAACAAGCTACACTAGACCTGGAGTGCAGATGCAGGAGGTGTCTCTGAAATGGAGTAAGGGATGGATGTGCAAGTGCATGGCTTTTGAACGTGTTGGAGCCTTGGGCAAGCAAGGAGGTGGCACAGGTGAGCAATTTAAACATTTGAAGAACCACTGCCAAAGGTTTCAAAAAAAGTGCTTTTATTAAAAATGTTGTAAAAGTAAGACTTAACATAATTTGATAGCAAAGTTTACTCTGTAACTGCAGAGGATATGATAATGATTTAAAGTTACTAATTCAAAATCTAGTGGCACTGTAGTACAAGACTGTGTGTGACATCGGTCACTTACCAGAAACCTGCAGTTGATCAGGTGTGTCTGAGCCTCGAGGAGTAACACTGAGGGCATCCCAGCTCACAGGGAAATCGCTGCCATACAGCCAGCTGATTAGCATGTGGGCTGGAAAAAAGGCTGTCTCATGCTGTCATTTATGGAATAAAGTGGTTGGATTGAGGTCAAACTACCTTTGTTGGAGAAGGTAAACATGAGAGTCTTGTACCTGCACTTTTCTTTGTTCCTTGATAAATGAGTCTTGGAAGAACCACCCCATTATTCATGTGTTATTTATATGGTCAGTATCCCAGATTCCAAGTCCATATGCCTCGGTGCTCACCATGTCACTCTGCTCCTGTAGGGATTTTCAGAGAAATGGTTGGAACAAATGGAGCTCTTGGCCTGGTTATGTTCAAGCCTATACTGCTAAGTGAAAGAGAAGCAGGAACTAGTTCTCAGCCCTGAGGCCAAGAGGCAGTGGATGTCTCGCGCACACATGGCTTAGGGTTCTGTTTTAATTGGGTTGTATCTGTGCTGTGTAATTGTGAACAAACGTGGTTTCTGTGGCCTTAAGTGGGTTTTTTTTTTTTAGTTTGCTTTGGACACTTCAAGCTTAAAAATCATGGAGTTATACTGCAACAGAGGATGCTTTTGGGTTTTTCAAATTTCATCATGCATAAGCAGTTTCAGCCTGTTAAAAGTGGACCTTTCACAGAGATAACAGACCTGTGAACCATTCTGCTTACAGTGAAACCTCAGATATTCTCTCCCTCAGCTGTTTGAGAGTTTGACACACCCTGCAAGCAAACCTCTCCTCAGCTTTGGTCCCTGTCATCGCAGTCTGGGTTTGTGTGGGCTTTCACTACCCATCTTCCAGGATAAATGCTGTATCCCAGTGTTAGTGCAGTACCTCTTCAGAAGGTCAAAGCCACCCACTCTTGCCCTGATCAGCCCCTCTGTCACTGCAGCCCCGGTGTGAGCTGAAGACAGCACTCAGCTGAATTGCTTTTTGCTTCATTGAAGATCTGTCTCTACTCAGAGGGAATATGCCTTGGGGTATCGTCTTTCAGTATTAACCAGAGCCATGGCAAAGTGTATGACAAAACCCACAGGTAACCCAGGAGTGGTATTAGCCTTTTAAACAAATGAAAATGCAGAAAAACTGTTTCTGTGCTTGACTTGAATGTGGAAAAGAAGATGGGAATGTTTTTAAAGCATCGGGGTGGGGGGGCGGGGGGAGAAGAAGGTACATTTTACTGCTGTTGATTATATATTCCAGATCAGTGATAGGAATTAATGATAACTGGGCTGGTGAGGAAGAGCCCTGTTTCTTAATGCAGGAAAGCAGACCTGATAATTCAAAAGAGGGAGCATTTACTTGCTCCATGTGGTCGGGAACTATGGGAGAGCCTGCTGTGAGTGTAAATGTCACAGAAGGCATGTGTATGAGACAGGGCTTTTTGGCTAGCTGCGTTTATCAGGTCTGTCTCCAGGCTGGTGCTTCTTCATTGTTCTCCTCCAGAGCAGAGATCATAACTATCCATGAGCAAAATCACCTTACAGGGTGTGATTCCTGTCTGCTTTTGTAGTATTACTAGAACATGTTCTGCTGAGGGTGTCCTGCAAGTATCCTCTGCAGGTAATGCTCACCTGAGCTCTCTGCTCTGCTGACCGACCATTCCTCTGCTTGTCACAGCTCACAGATGGGGATATTTCTGAGCACAGCCCCTCATGTCACCCGTGCTTTAGCAGAGCAGTGTGTAGAAGCACTGAGTACAAGCACTGATGGAAAAACAAGTGAAGATATTCCAAGTACTCAAAAGCACCTGTGGAATGACACATTTCGGTCTTCTCATCAGCCTGTCCAGGGCGTCATAAATGAAGAGTGCCTGATGGGGAATTAGTTGCATTGAGCTGTGAATCACAGCTCTTACAGTGACCCAGATAGTTCCTATAGAGGGACAGTAGGGATGTGAGGATGTATAAGGGCTCCATGATAATAAATATTAGCACCCAAGACAAACATACAAATGCAAAGACAGCTGAAGATCACTTACAGCATAAGTATAAAAGAAATGGGACTGGGGCATATTAACTGACTTCCTTTTTTTGCCAAAAAAGCACTGAGCATTAATTTCCATCTCTTTCACAGAACTACATGGCTTGATAGAGCAGCAATTTGGAGGAAGAGCTTGCAAGGGTTTTGGACTTGATTTTCCTCCACAGAGAATTTTTCCTGTGTTGAACAGACTTCACTTAGGAAGATTTTACTAGTTTAAGATTTATGCACCTGTGGGTACTTGCATCATGTTGACTAATTTGAGTATAATCTAGGTAATAGATCTGGGAATTGGGATTGTATAGCGGTATTTGGCTAATAGATATAATCTAATTGCAAGCCTAGACATGGGTTGATTTTAGCTCCGATATGCTGCATCTGGGCAGGTGCAAAGGAATTCGGGGAACCAACTGGAATGATGCCAGCAGTGCTGAAAAGCCAAAGCTGGCCTAGCTGGTAAAGAGAACTGATCTTAAAAGCTCCATGTTGTGTTTGGTGTAGCCTCTTGATGAGCCAGATTATGCCTGTTAATGTGGCTGAGCTTCCTGGAGGAGGTTCAACAATACCAAGTGCCAGGTCCTGTACTTGGGTCACAACAACCCCAGGCAGCCCTACAAGCTGGGGGAAGTGTCTGGAAGGATGCCCAGCAGAAAAGGACCTGGGAGCGTTGGTGGACAGCAGCTAAACATGAGTGTGCCCAGGTGGCCAAGAAGGCCAGTGGCATCCTGGCCTGTGTGAGAAACTAAGCCCACTCCTCCAAATTTTGAGACTTTAATAAGGGATAATAAGGGACAGATCAACGAAGCAAAAGTAACAGCACAACTGTGTGTGTGGCAACAGCCAAAAGCGCACCCAAATCTGTAGCAAGCAGTCCTTTATACTGTTGCATTACTTCACCAAATGACTTTGCACATTTTTCGGGGCCTGTTTACCACAGCTCCACCTCAGGTTGTCACAGCATTGCCTAAATCCACAGCTACAGTCTCCAAGGGTCCATCAGGGAGGCAGTCTGGGGTGGTCTTCTGATGCCACTCTAGACTTGGTATTCTCCTCTTATGGTATTTTGTTCTCTGCCTTTGCTATCTTGGTGTTACAAATAACCATGCAGTTGTTGGCTTTCACTAATTATGTATTGGCTTTGCAAATTACTAAAGTGGATGCTGTGTTGTGCGTTACAATGTTAACTTTTGCAGAAGTAGCTGTAGTTGTGAAATAATAACTTCCTTTTGTTTTTTGTGAGAAACTACAGATTGGGATATTGTTTATTAAGATATATGTAAAGGTTAGACAATTGTGAGAAACTACAGATTGGGATATTGTTTATTAAGATATATGTAAAGGTTAGACAATTGTGAGAAACTACAGATTGGGATATTGTTTATTAAGATATATGTAAAGGTTAGACAATTGTGAGAAACTACAGATTGGGATATTGTTTATTAAGATATATGTAAAAGTTAGACAACTGTGAGAAAAATACAGACTGAGGTATTGTCTATTGAGATAAGGTTAGACCACGGAGGTATGCAAACAGCAAACGGACACAGCTGATAACAAGCACTTCAACCGGAGACTGAAGATAAAGATCACGACAACCATTCACACTAGGGACTGCTTAAACAAACACAAGATAACGGCAGGAATTGGCTTGCAAATTCCAGGGAGACAAAAGAAGAAATAGGAATAAAAGGAGACAGTTTTGAGCGAATCGTCGGAGCAGCCAAAGCTTCGGTTTTTTTGAAGTTTTTGGGTTTGCTCCCCAGCGCTGTTACCTTTGTCCATATCCTACTTGCTATAAATTAATAAAATTCTTAATTGGATTATGTTCCGTTGTGGCGCAAATTTATAACATTTTTGTAACTAACTGACAATAATGAGAATAACTCAGATATATTTGGGAAATAGCTAATGTTGATTTGAAGTACTTGTGGAAATAGCTAAAACCATCTGCATGGTCAGATAACATTTAAGGAGCAGATGGGATGAGGAACCCTGCTATTTCAACTATCAGTAACTCTCACCTGCTGAAACCATAAAACAGGGGGCCATTGTGGGGAAGTGACCCACAAAATGAAATCCACGATTACTGCACCTACTCTAAAAAGGCAGGTTAGGGGTCAAACCAAGCTAAAGAATTCCCAGAACATGTAAACGAGTTCAAATAAGTGTTTGAACATGTGTAATCTTTATGAATATGTATTTGAACCAATGCAATAGAAAAAGTATGTAAGAAGAGTTACTGTGGTTAGCTGATGTGCCTCTGGTCGTAGCCAAGCACCCAGTGCTGTTATTGATTTTCCCCTTTTATCCCCTATTAAACTTCTAAAAATTTTGAAAAGTGGGGTTGATTTCTCACACCTGCATCAGCAATAGTGTAGCCAGCAGGACGAGGACAGTGGTTGTACTCCTGTACTTGACCCTGCTGAGGCCACATCTCAAATCCTGTGTTCAGTTTTGGGCCCCTAAAATCAGGGAGGACGTGAAGGCGCTGGAGCGTGCCCAGAGAAGGGCAGCACAGCTGGGGAAAGGTGAGGAGCACCCGTCCTGTGCGGAGCTGCTGGGGGTGTTTCGTCTGGAGAAAAGGAGGCTGCCGGGTGCCCCTACCCCTCTGTAGAATTGCCTGAAAGGAAGGCAGGACGGGGTCGGCATCTTGCTCCCAGCAACAAGTGGCAAGAAGCTCCATCCGGGGAGGCTTAGCTTGGACAGCAGTTCTGTGAAAAGTGAGCACGGGGCTAGGGAGGGATGTAGGCTATCGCCTTTCCCATGGTGACAGCCCTCGGGAAATGGCTGCCCGGCGGCGGCCCGCGGCAGTGCCCGGCACGGGTCTCGAACCGGGCACCGGGCAGGTGAGCCCGGCACGCCCGAGGGAGGCTCGGCCACGCCTCCTGCATCACGTGACGGGCGCCTTCTCGCTAGCCACGCGAGGGCCGCAGCCAATCAGCGCCGCGCGGGTGTGCGGGTCGGAGCATCGGCCGGAGCCACCGCGCATGCTCCGTGCCCCGGCCGGGCGCGCTCGCTTCCGCGCGGGAGAGTTGAGGGCGGGGGAGGGGGCGGCGGGAGTGACGGCTCGCGCCGCGCCGCACCGCGAGCGGGCGGTAAGTGCCACCGCGGGCGGGGGGAGCGCAGAGCCTCCTCTGCGCCGGTCCCGCACCCCCGCAGTGCCCGTGGGTGGACCCTGCCGGGGCTAGGGTGGGCGTGGGGGGGGCGTGAGGGGGCACCGGGGCCCCAGAGCGGTGAGGCACCGGCACCGGCTCCCGGAAAAGCTGAGGGTGTCCGGTCCCTGGCGGTGTTCAGGGACGGGATGGATGGAGCTCTGAGCAGCCCAGTCTAGCGAAAGGTGCCCTGCCCGCGGCGGGGGCTGGACCGAGATGCTCTCAAGTGAGGGGTGATCAGAAAGACAGCTTTGTTTGTTCGTTCTTCTTTGCGAAATCTGGATGTGTTTGTTATGTAATAACGTAGGGAGGAGAATGGGGAACTGAGTGTCGGTCGTGTTTAGCTGTGAAATTTCCAGCCGTGCTTCTTTCCCCACAAAGCACAAATGAGGGACACGGAGAGTGTGGGCTGACAGGTGTGTGATTTCTTTCTTCCTACTTCCATAGATCCAATCCTGCACTGCGCTGAAAGGAAGAGGAGAGCAGAGCAGGAGCTGGGGCAGTGGGTTTCAATAGCGCGCTGGAATTCAGGGGACTTGGGTTCTTTTCCTTACTTCCTGTGGATATACTAAGAGGTTCTGTGCCTTAGCTCCTCCTGTGTAAAAGATGGATATTTACATACAAGAATGCTTTCAGAACTGGGTCTGGAGAGCAAATACTTAGACAAATTGGTAATGTTTCAGCAGGATTGCTGAATTTGAAAGTGACACAAGCCCTGCACTCTTGCCAGCACTGTTTTTCCTTTCTACTTTCTGTTTCGTTTCTGGTTTCCTTCCCTTTAGTCACTGTAGTGGAAAAATAAAGAACCAAAACCAGCAGCCCTCCTTCTAGGAAATGGCGCGGGTACAGGAGGAGCAGCCAGGTGTGACTGCTCTCTCAGCTGTTGCTCTGCCTCCGTTTTGCAGCGTCATTTCACCTGTCGTGAGCAGAGGGCAGCGGAAGGGCCCCCAAACCTTACAGCTGAATTAGGCCCCCTGGATTCCCTGTGGTGGTGACAGTGGAAGCAAAGGACTTCAGGAAAGCAGGGGATTGACTGTTAAACAGCAGGTGAAAATCCAGCATTGATAAGTAGAAGATGATGGATGTGGCAGAGGAACAACCATGACACTGATGCACTCCCTACTTAATCTGATGCCACTTAAGAAAGGGATCTGGGGAACTGTAATGCTGGTCTGGTTGACAGGGTGGTATTGGGTCATTGTTTGGACTCGATGATCTCAGAGGTCTTTCCCAACCTAATTGATTCTGTGACAAGTATGTGACTCTCACTGAAAGGCCTCCCTTCTGGGAGGGCCAAGAGGACAAACCTGTGGATCTGTCCCTATGATTTCTGTCTTGAATTCTCCCCCTCCAGTTAGGTACAAATCAGGGTACTTTTGTACCTTCCATTGTTTGTAGTCACATTGCACAGAATGCCCCGGAGGTGCAGTTGGGGCAAAATATTTCCTGTTAAGCAAAGGAAAGAACAAGGCCACACGGCTCCCAAGCTGCCTCACATTCCTCTCCAGACCCGTGGCAGCACAATACACCAGCCCTCCACCCAGTTTTGTCTGCTCTGATCACCGTGGGCCCCATTGCTTGTTAAGCTTCATGTTTTTTTCACTGCTTTATGGTTCCAACAGTAGTTCTCTGGAATTGTCAGCTCTGCACTCAGAAGCAGGCTAAAATGTGATTGAAATAGTCAGAATTATTAAGGAGAGAAGGAAAATACAGAGTGATGTTAGGACTTTGTAGTGTAAATGGTAACCCATCCTTTTGGAGGTGGTAGGCTCCTCTTTGAGTATAGCCAGTAGACTATAGAGACGGGATGGAGAAATGACAGACGTGAGAACAACTGCAGACCAGCTTCTGTACAAAGAAGAGATAAATAGTTTCAGATTCCTCGACTTTACAGAGACAGCGGGAGAAATAGTAACACAGCAATGCTGTCATGAGTGCTACTGAAAGAATGGAGCAAGGATTTCGTGCCTTTTCAGACAGATCCAAGTGTTTCAAATGGAATCCCTGAGTAGCAAGCTTAAGCCTGCAAAAGCAAGGTATTGTTCAGATGAAATGTAACTAAACTGTGAAACTGGAAACCTGCCCTTAGCCACTCCCTTCTTGCATAGGAGCAGCCAGCCAGCCCCTTTTAGCTCCTTATCCTCTTCCTGGTAGTACTCTGTAGCGGAAGCTCAGGAAGAGCACAGGCTCCTATGGGGGTATGTCCGGTTTGCACGGCCAGGTTTGGGTGGTGGGGGGACTACAGGGGTGGCTTCAGTGAGAAGCTGCTGGAAGCTTTCCCTGTGTCCAGCAGAGCCAATGCCAGCCAGCTCCAGGACTGACCCTCTGCTGGCCAAAGCCGAGCCCGGCAGGAATGATAGTAAGGCCTCTGTGGTAACATATTTAAGAAGGAAAGGAAAAAAGTTATTGGGCAGAGAGGAGTGGAGCGGGAATATGTGAGAGGAGCAACTCTGCAGACACCGAGGTCAGTGGAGAAGGAGGGTCAGGAGGTGCTCCAGGTGCCAGAGCTGGGATTCCCCTGCAGCCCCTGGTGCAGACCATGGTGATGCAGGATGTGCCCCTGCAGCCCAGGGAGGTCCGTGGGATTCAGAGATCCACCCACAGCCTGTGGAGGAGGTGGGTGCCTGAGAGGAGGCTGTGACCCCGTGGGAGGCCCACCCTGGAGTAGGCTGTGCCTGAAGGACTTCACTCCATGGGAGAGTGATCTAAGTTGGGGCAGTTCATGCTGAACTGTTGTTCATGGCATGGACTCACAGAGAAGTTTGTGGAGGACTGTCTCTATTGGGAGGGACCCCACACTGGAGCAGGGGAAGGACTCCTTGAGTGTGGTAGGAACAATGAGTGATGGACTGACCATAACCCCCAATCTCCATCTCCCTGTGCCTCCTGGGGGAAGGAGGTAGAGTTTGGAAAGAAGGGAGGTATTGGTATTAGCAATATTGAGGACGGGAAGTGCCCTGGCTTGTTTGGCCCATGCAGCTGAACCAAATAGCAGCAACTGTGGTGTTTCACCCAGAGACACTTCTGTTGCAGCTGTAGAGACAAGTCCAGGCATGCTGGAGCTCCAGTGGCATCGGGATGGAGCTTCCTCTCACAGAGGGTCCGCTCCCTCAGGTTTCCTGCTGTCGGAGAGGTTTTTAAGGCGATAGTGAAGGAAAGGAGTCAGTTCTGATGGAGAGTTTTAATCCAGAGCTTTTATTCTGGCCTGCAGGCTCTGAATCCAGCAACTGCTCCAACAGAACTCTCGGACTGCGTGGTTGCTCTCCGTTTTACCCGGGGGAGGAGCGAAGGGATAGGGATCCCACCAACCAGGTAGGGGAGAGGAGGTCTCAAGGGACAAAGGACACCTGGATGGCCCAGTGTCCCCCAGGGATAGAGGGCATCTTTTGAATCTGCTCAATCACCCAATGCCCTTTTGGAATTCCAGGAGTGACAGTGTTCAGCAGGGGTCAGGGTGGGGAAAGGAGGAGTGATTGACACACCTGGGAGGAAATCTTCAGGGGAGAAACCTGGGGTTCGGGGGTAAACCATGAAATCACACTGCAACAGGGAGGGGTGAGGGCAAGGTGGTTTTAAAATTCATTATACTTCTCATTATCCTGCTCTGATTTTGTTAGTAATAAATTCAGCTCATGATCCCCAAGCTGAGTCTGCTTTGCCTGTGATGGTATTTGGTGAGGGATCTCTCCCCCTCCTTAACCCATGAACCCTTTGTTATATTTTTCTCTCCCCATCCAGCTGTGGAGAGGAGTGGTTGAGTGGCTCAGGGGAGTTCCTGGCATCCAGCCAGGGCTGACCCACCACAGGGGAACAGGATACAGGGCTAAATAGGGCCGTAGGTGCAGGCTGGCTGCTTCTGCACAGAGGAATGGCCAAGAGCTGGACTTCCACTGCTTCAGGATTCCTAGAAAGGTGCTGGAGTGACCCCAAGGTTGACCATGATTAAATGTCTTCTGTCCTCCATAAGCACCAGGATTTCTCTGGAGCCTGTCAGAACACCAGGGACTGCAGACTCCACGTTAGCCCTTTCCTTAAAAAATTCCTGGAGCAGGATCCTCTGGGCCTGAGCAGGGCCTGTGTGTCTGCATTGATTCCAGATATTGGTTTGCTGCAGAGAGCTTTCCCCATATTCTAGGCCATTCAAACTCTAGCTCATTCTTCTTTTGAGTTTCTTTCTTTTCTATTCTAGTTCTAATATGTCTTTGTGTTTCTGTTTGTTTCTGTTGTATTTATTTATTACTCAGGTTCTGAAACTGATATGATGGTCAGTGTATAGATTGGTATTGGAAATCAGTTTCTACCCTGCCTTTCTTACAAGACATAGGAGGACAGAGGGAGAAACACTCCAGCTGTGTGCAAAGGCTAAGTGACTTGTGACTATAAGTAAATTGTCAGTAGTGTAAGCCAGAGGGGAAAAAAACATAAAAAATCTTCTACTCTGTTGATGTTTTCACCTGGGGCTACCCCAGTCAGTTTTATGCAAGGGGAATGGGAACTAACAAAAACAGTTAATCTGTTGAAACCCAAAAAAAGGTTGCAGGATTTGTTGGACTATGAGATATGCTGCCTGTTTTATACTTGGGCCTTACTACCTCTCTCTCACAAGAATAATTTAACTTCAGATCTTCCTATTTCTTGAAAGTAAACACAGATTTTTCTTCCCCCTTGTCATACAGGAGTTTGTGCTGTCAGAGGTGACGTCTCCAGAAGAGGATAGTTTGGAGTATCACACCTTGTAGGAGTGGGAAGTTGTTGAAGATTTCTCTGGTGGACTTGTACAAAAAACACAAAGTAAGATTTCTGCTACAAATGTTGTGGGTGATGCTCTAACCTGCTGGTGGGGGATGTGTGTGAAGGCTTGTCCAGAAACACTTTTACTTCTTTTGTGAAGTAAATAGCTGGCCTCAGAATTTTGCATCTGCTGGAGAAAGACTATGTGAAGAAGAACAATTAAGACTTGAGCGGATATGGCCAGGAGAAGATAACAGGTGTCCCTGGGGCAATTCCCAGGGCTCAGGGAAAATTCTGTCACCATGTTAGCATTTTGCCTGGTTGAGAGAGAATGTCTGAATCTCTCATTTATGTTTTTTTTTTTGTGCCCCAATTTACTTGCAGACCACTCCACACTACTTTGCTACATCCTTCTTACAGAAAGAAATTAGCGTTTCTTGTTTTATGTGAACTCCTGGAAGCACTAGTGAAGCTTGGGGTCACCTGTTTTTCTGTCCTTTGTTGACTCGCAGACCCACACATAGCAGCAGTGGGTTAAGAAAACACTATAAGTGATTGCCCTCCTCCAAACAGAGGGAGTTCCACACCTTAGAGCATGACTTGCCAGGCCGCTCTTGGGTCTGTTTTTGGAGCAGATATTTCAAGCAAGCTTGAAAACTGTCGTATTACCCCTTATGACTTGTTAGTGACTTTCCAAGAGGAGATAAACCACTCTTTCTCCTGCACTAATTGCTGGAGCTCCTGGGATCTGGTTTCCATCCCACTGCTGTGCCAAGTGCCTGTTCTTAGTAGTCATTACTGGAGGAGCAAAGCACCAAGGGTAAGGGGATGTAGGTGAAGAAGCAGTTAGAGGGCAGGTGTTGGCAGGCTCTGCTTTCCTCTGTCCTGCTTGGCCTGTGGAAGTTGTCAATTGCTTTGTGTTTTGTCCCAGTTTTCCTGCTCTAGGTGCTTTCTGGATAATGGCGAAGATGGTGAGAACAACATGTGCATTTTGTTCAGAAGGGGAGGCTGGCTCTGTGATGTATATCGCCACAGAGAGAAATATTGCAGCTCATCAGGATTGTCTGGTGAGTGCCTTTAGCTGGTCAGTACCGAAGAGAAGTGGAGAAGGGATAAGGGGAAGTTTCCACTGCTTATCTGTTTTTGGTGTTGCAATGATGTCTGGATTGAAAGGCTGGTTACTCAAATCAGCAAGTTTATAATTGATTGAAAAGCTGTTAAAAGCAACAGGGCTTGGCAGGGATTTTGGAGTGGGAGAGGATGTGTCTGCACAGCTGGAGCTGTTGATTTGTGGTGTTTTCATGTGTGTCTGTTGCTGAGCAGTGGTCCCAGGCACACATGAAAACACCACAAAGACCACATACAGTCTAGCAACAGAAACAGGTCTTCTTGAGACACTATTGAGACTCATCCTCTTGGATGAGGATTCTCAGGACACAGAAAGTTGTATACTCAAACCTTTGCAGGAAAATATCCGTAGCACTTGATGGTTAATAACCTTTTCAGTGTGTCCCTTATTTAAAATAAGGAATAAAAATATCTGAAGTTGATTATATAAAAATATCTGTGAAGCTCTTAAGTGTGTGCAATCCTTCTACTTTTCTTGCCTGCCCTTTATTCTGGAATGTTGGTAGAGCTGGGTGTTGGAGTGTAGAATCAATTACAGCTGCTGTAGTCTCCCTTCAGCAGAGGGAGAATATAGCTGAGGGCCATTTAGTGCAGGAGATTGCTGCTAGAGCAGCTTTCAGGCTCTCACTGTCCCAGCCTTATTATTCTCACAATAGTTATGTCTACATCTGTATTTTTCTGATGTCTTTTTTGGTTAGTTGTTTTTTATCAGAATGTTTCACAGCAGCATTGTTTTACGGCACTTGAATGTTTTATTTGAAACAGGTTTTATTATAACTTTAATGTTTTTCCAATGTTAAAACTTTTCTCTCTCTTTCTCTCTTTCTCTGTTTTTTCTTATTTCTCCTTTCTTTCTCCTCCCAGCACCTTTACTCATTTCTCTGCCTTGGATTTGTTTGCACTGTTTGGGTTTTTTTGCAGTCAGCTATCACCTTCTGAGCAGACAGACTGTGCCTGCTAATTGAAAGGGTGGCTCCCTTTTGTTCAGAATTAGCTACATGTAATGCTTAGGAAATACTTACCAAGAACTTCCCCTTCCTCACGCATTGTCATGGCTCAGCAGTTCTGTGGAAATTAAAGTGGCCTGAGTGTGCATGTGTGCATTTTTAGTGAGTTTCTTCCAGGATGTGTACAGTGTTTCTGTTTTTTTCCTGCAGTCGGCTGTTGTCGGTCAGCATTGGGCTGTATGGAAATCTTATTACAGAGAAATGTTGCATCCAGCTGTAGGTCCGAACAACTGAGCACATAATAAAATGTCCAAGGTGTGGAGGTCCTTTGCCTGAAGATCTTCTCATCCCTACTCTGGGCACCCTGGAATTTCACATTTTCTTTGTTCATGTTTTTGATAAGTTAACTTTCTCACCTTATTATCTTTTCTTAGTTTGCCGTCAGGTTATGTGAAATCTCCTATGTGGAAGGAGGAACTTCTTTTGATGGCAGAAATGTTTAAGCTTTGCTCATTGTTCAGTGTAGCTGAAACATCTTGTTAGCACAGAGAAAAATCAGCCTTCCTAGGTAGGACAAATGAAAGAAGAAAAGATGTATTCCATGTCTCTTTTCAGCACTGGTGACCGAGTCATTCTTATTTCTTAAAACTGTCTTTTTTGTCTTTAGTTATTTTCCTCAGGATTTGTGGAATCCGAAGATCATAACCCAGAAAATCTAGAAATAAGGTTTGATGTGTCATCAGTGTTAAAGGAGCTCAGGAGAGGAAAGCGGCTGGTAAGGAGATGTTTCTGAATCTGCAGTTAGTCCCATCTCATATTATTGAAGGTTGTCTGGCCTGTTCTGTGCTTTAAAAAAAAAAAAAAATTCAAGCAGCTGGTACTTCTGATCTAATAAGATTAGGGAAATTACAGGTTTAGTGTTGGAGTCATTGATTTAACATTTGGTTTGGTGAAATTTAGTTCATTCTGTTTTAAAATGCAGGTGGGTTTTTTTCTGGCCTTTGTGTCGTTAGTCAAAATTTCCTGAGACGTTGGTAAAGAACTAAGCCAGCGCCTGAAACAAAAGAATGCAATCCACAATTGTAAAGGGAACACCTTCTGAGTTTAGCAGAAATATGATTATTTAAATTAGAGGTTTTTATAATTGCCTTTGTCTTCAGCTGCCCTCCTCTGCTACGTCCTGGGTAGAACTCTTTTCATTATGAAGTTAGCCTAGAAAACATAAATACAAACATTAACACCAATTAATGTTGAAATAACTTGGGAAAGTTGCTTAGTGCCCTCACATGGCTCTTTGCCTCATTTTACAAATTTATCAGTATGAAATAGAAGTAAGATAGTGAAAAGGTGGCTGAAATAATTACCAGGGTCGGTGTTTGCAGGAGTGAATTTGCCTGATGAATTACACAGAGGTGACTTGCAATGGAATACTGGATTTTCCCACAGAGAATGGCATTTGCCCTGTCTGGCAGGATTTGGAGTAGCTGCCTGTGACATTTACCTGGTGAACCCCCTCCTGTTGTAGGTGTGCAACTTCTGCCGCAAGAAGGGGGCCACGGTGGGCTGCGAGGAGCGCGCGTGCCGCAGGAGCTACCACTTCTTCTGCGCGCTCTGCGACGATGCAGCCGTGGAGACCGACGAGGTCAACGGCGTCTACAGGTACCTCACAGAGTGTCCTCTGACTGTCACTGCCAGCCTCTGGGGGTGTCAGCAAGAGGGGCTTCTTTAGGTGTAGTGTAAAGGGTTTTTAGGGAATGAAATAAGTTCCCCTCTCCTAAAGTGATGCTTGGTGCTCTGTTTGCAAACTGTGGGAGAAATGTTTTCATTTCACAGGAAAACATTACTGCAGTGGGAGGGAATCTGTTTAGTGCTTGAGCCTGTAACATCACTGAAAGATAACAAGGCAAAAACTGAGAAAGTCAGTCTTTTACTGACTCTCTAGCCAATCTTCAAGAACCAAGACTTTTATTAATGTCACTCAGATTCTAAATTTTTTGTTGGTTCAGAAGCTTCAATAAATGTCGTCTCAGCACAGAGCAGGTTATAACCCTTCTAGGTCTGCTCATATTAGTCAAATTCGGGTAATTTTGCCTCCTCATGCTAGCAAAGAACTTTGATTCCCACTAAAGGCCTTGTATGTCAAGTATGTTGCTAGCAATAACATGATTGAATGGATTCTAAGTAAATTTTCTGTCCTGATCATGCTAGTCCTGGTGTCCACTGCCCTTGAGCAACCTGCATTACCATTGACAAATGAAACAAATTGTTTGGAGGATGCAGATGGAGGGGTTGCAAAATTGGGGCTTTGGGGACCTTTTGAAATGCTGACATCTGAGGTGCATAAAAGCCCCGATACTCATTTCTGTGCAAGACCGGAGAAGTCACAGGTCGCATTAGTCTTAGATTAATTTGGGGATCATCTAATCACTACTGTTTCAAAAAGGAGTGGACTAGTGCAGTCCTTAGTAGCAGTGGAAGATGGGTCCTTTTGTGGCACTCCTGGAGGGTTCACAGCGCTCTCTGTCTAAAATGAATGCATCTGTGCAAGGCTGCAAGCCCAGCTGTGCAGGGAGGATGAAAGCTGTAAAATCTTTGTGTATCTGCAAAGCTCATGAAAGAGTGTAGCTGGGAATGTGGAAACTTTCTATGATCCCAGTATAAATGGCTTTCATCTTATAGCTTTAAAAAGGGTAACTCGGGCTCAAGAACACTGAACTCAAGGTACTGAAAAACGAGTGGGACTGACAGCAGTCCAGATACAAACTGATAAAAAAGTGCTAGCATATATAGTTTGGTTTGGTGGCATTTTTGAGCTGGTGACCTTGGAGTTTTGGAAGAGGGACCCTTAAAAATGCTTTGGTTTAAGTCTCTGTGTGACACTGATAGCCTAGGAAAGTAGGCTATAGCAACCTGTAATGAAGAGCTGGGAAAGGACTAGATTAGAGAAGGATACTAGGAAAGCTTTCAAGGATTTGAACCTAAAGACTTTAGCACAGTAGCAGTGGCATAAATAAAGCACAAAAATTGTAGCTAGCTGAAATTATTGGAGAGTAGACTTGAAAAACAGTGAATGTGGATTGACAGCCCCTGCACATTTTCATGGTGAAGTATAACATACTGAAAAAATATAATTCCTTTGCGAGAGGCAGAGCTGGTGGCTTTAAATTCTGAGTTGCCATCAATGGGTAATGATCATCAAAACAAATGGAGCAGAATAAAAAGAGAAAGCATAGGGTGCTGTGGAAGTGGCCAATAAGAGTAGAGGTGGAGAAATAAGTGCAATTTGCACTACTCTCTTGCAAAAATGATAGTAGAGAAGTGCTTCCAAATAAGTGGCCTGAGAAGTAAAATATATTATCTGTACTTTGTAAGATGTTCTTATCCTTAGGATGGGTTTTCTTTTTTTAACTATGAAAGGCTGTAAGTAAAGGGAGGGGAAGACTAAAAAATATTCTCCAAAGAGCAGTATTAGAAATTCAGGGATGTAAATAAGGTGTCTCCAGCTTTCTGATTGTATTATTAGGCATACCTGAATCTGATTTGTTGTGCTTCAAGATGCATTTAATGCAAAAGAAATTCCTCATCAAGCCAACAGTCTGCGTTTCTAAGGGCAGTGCTTCTGTTTTTGTTAAAAGAATGACAATAATTAGAAAATGGCCTAGTAAATGCAGTTCCCTTTAAAAATTGAAGCAGACTTGATTTACTTGGCAAGTAAATTTGTAAGGAAGAGATAAACTAAGCCATGCTCCTGACAAGGCATTTTTGCTTAAAAAGTGACTTGGGATCTTTCTGTAAGAAGGGCATATTGTAAAAGTTGGTTCATGTTCTCTGCACATTATTGTATCCAAAAGATAAGGAATATTTTCAGATAAATTTGTTTCATTTTGCCTGTTCCAAGGAATTCACATTGCTCTCCTAGAACCACTGAAAAGATTCCCATTTCACTTATAACTGAAGTCTTTAAGCAACAAATGGACTGAGCAACTTTAAGCTACTGGATCTTGCACAGGGTTGTCTCTCATAGTCAGGATTTGGGGGCCATTCCATGAGCAGCGGAGGGAGGGGCACAGAGATCTCCAGGAGGGTAAGTGCCTGGTGCTGTGCGTGGTGGTGCCGTGTGGCGCTGCCAGCGTCCTGCAGGGCTGAGGAATGGAAGGTGACACTGGGCAGATGTGTCTGAGGAGGCTCCTGGCCTGCGTGGGGCAGGGCCAGGGGGCAGAGCCGCTGTGATGGAGCAGTGTCAGGACTGTGGTGTTTCACCTTGGGAGCGTTAATCTCATTTCAGTGTCTCTGACACAGTGATTGCCACACGCATGAAATGTGCCTGACTCAGGGCCTGAACAGTGGGCAGGCCCAGACAGGGTGGGCTGATGGAGCTGATTATTCAGAGCTTCAGTGCTGAGAGTCCAGTGTGGCTCTGGAAGTACAGATACAAGGTTGTGCATGCACAAGACTTTAAAGCAGATGGTTTTTGAGGTGGGTAATGCTGAACAAAAATCCTGATTTTTTTTTTGACTGTCTTTCAGTTTATGCTCTGTGGAAAGAGGGGAAAATATCTTTTAAAATTGTTCAACATAACTCTGTTTGCATATTTATTAATACTTCTTCTCTTTTTCTTGAAATTGAACTTAAATTTTAGAGTGTTCTGCCCAAAACATGACCCAGGGAATAGGACCAATCACTATGGTGAGTTTCTTTAATGACTTCATTGATTTCATTTGTTTTAGAAGTTTGCATCCTACAGTCAGTAATTCATAAGAACAAGATAAATATCACCACTTTCATATTGAGTGGGGGATTTCTAATCTTTCAAGAGTGGTTTGGTTAAGATCCACGTGTATGCACAAAAATCAAGGTTTTGTGAAGTGGGAAAAGTTAAAATTTAATCCTCCCCAAATCTCCTTGAAAACTGACTTAAACCACAATGGTCCCAGTCCTTAATGGAAGCATTCTTACTCTTCTTTGGGCAAGTAGACCCAAGCAGCTTGTAAAATCCCTCTGAGACAGGAGAGCCACACACAAGTTTTTACTAGATTAGCAAGGAAAAGGCTGTTGCAGGAGAGGTCACATTGGGATTTTATCTGTGGTTATGCAGGCATTCACATTTGCATCTTCTATATTCACTGCAGTAGTTTTTAAAATAGGGCCTTTCATTCTGAAGGATCCCAAAGAGCTTTTTAAGTGTAACAAAAGGGTTGTACAACCCCTGCTTAAGGATTGCTTCCTGTGCTACAGAACTACAGCTTCATTTGGCAGTCCTGGCCCTTCCTGATTCAGAGGTGTTTGGAAATCCCAACCAAAGCTGGACCTTGTTAGTCCAGTGAATAGAACTCTGCTCACAGTGAAGTGGCTCCTAGACTGGCCTTCAGTTTGAACTCAATGGAACTCTTAGCACTTGTGCTGACTGTGGTGTGCTCCCACTGAAGTCTAGCAAATTTTAGCCAGTCTTCTTGACAGAGTCTTGCTCCACCCTGATGACACTTAAGAGATGGGTTAGGTGATTATTATTTAAGCTTTTATTCATGAGGGCTGGGGCTCTTCGGAAAGACTCCACAGCTGGTGAAAGTTGTAAAGTAGGTACATATTTATTCAGCTCTGGGCACATGCGGGATCTCTCTGAAGCTTTCTGCAGGGTCTGAGGAGCCTCTCTTATCTCCAGCAGGCCTCGAATTCCTTCCACCCTGTTTGGGGTAATGAGCTCTTCTTATCAGGATCCCTGCATTCCTTTGTCCATCTTCGAAGGCCTTTATAAGCACAGCAAGTTACAAGTTAAGCGGGTTAAGCAACATACATGTCTAAAACAGCTATCCTAACTCTGAAATTAATTTCTACCCTAAATTAATTTCTAACTCCTATGTCTCACTTTTTAGCCTGATATAAGTCTGTTTAGTGTCTGATATTGCTGTGGTTCACTAACCAAATGCATCTTCTTAGTTTACTTAGTAGCTTTGCTTTTTACTTATGCATAGTTCTGAATCCTGGCCTTTCTCCTGTTTTCAAAATTGTTTTGATTTCTGTGGTGTAATGGTTGTCAGTATTTGTTGGGGCTGCCCAGGGTCTCAGGTGATCTCCTGTGCAAGTACTGGACAGACCCAGGACTGCTTTGTTTCCAGTACCAGATAATATTCAGGCATTAGGTCCAACCTTCTAGACCACCTTGTTCATCTGGATCACTTAAGTGTTACAAGGTTGAATAACAGAATGATTTGGGTTGGAAGGAACTTGAAGATTATCTAGTTCCAGCCTCCTTGCCTTGGCAGGCACACCTTCCACTAGACCAGGTTCTCAAAGCCCCATGCAGCCTGGCCCTGAACATTTCTAGAGACAGGACATCCATAACTTCTCTGAATAAACTGTTCTAGAGTGTCACCCTCACAGTAAAGAATTTCTTTGTATCTAACCCAAGCCTGGTGTGTTTCAGTCTGAAGCCATATCCCTTTGTCCTGTCACTACATGCTCTGGTGCAAAGTCATTTTCTGGCTTTCTTGTAGTCCCCTTTATATACTGGATGGGATTTGTGTCTTCAAATGCTGCATATGCAATGTTCCCTGAGAAGAGAGTTTTCTCCTAGAGGAGTTCTTCCAGAGGCACTTGGTTTAGAGACCTTCTGTCTATGGGGGTTAAATGGATTCTGCTGGCAGTGTCTACCCTGCCTCCTGAATGTGCTTCTCTCACCTCCTGAGGGTAGCTGTACCCTGGGAAGTGGGGAGCCAGTGGGAGAGTTGAGTTCTTGGTTCCCCAGGCCCAGTGTCTCCTGCTTCATAGTTTGGAGAAAATGGGGTCAGGGAAGATCCCCTTATTCTTGGTTCATACAATATTCTTGTGCTGGAATGTCAGGGCTCTGCTGTGTGATTGGAAAGGGATAAGGTACCTTATGGGCCAAGAACTCTCCTTGCAGCTTTGTGCAGCAAGGATGTGAGAGCAGCTTGGACTTGAAAACAGGCTCCAACCTCTGTTTAACTGGAAGAGTTGGATGTGGACAGAGTAGAGGCTGACAAATGCCAGAGAGCAGCCAGCGCTGTGCAGGGCAGGAGGAGTTGGGCTGCTCTTCAGACTATGCTCCTCTTGTATAAGGCATCCTTACAGCAGATACCAGGGAGAGCTCAGAAATTCCCATCATGTGTCAAAAATACAATGCTGAACAGCAAGGAACACTTTGTACCTACAGCAGTATCTCCCACTCTGCCCCAAATTTGGCTTTACAGGTTTGTTTTGGATGAAGTGAGACCAATTTCCTTTCATTGCATGAAAAATGCAAATGTACAGCGCCAGTGCCCAAAGCCCAAATTTGTTTCTGCAGCCTCCGTATACAACAGTGGCTCCTTACTCCTCTTGATAGGATGATTTCTAACAGGAAAGGCCTCCCTAAGTGCTGCCCAGAGGTTCTGGAATTAAGCAGGGAAGGGGAAGTATAACTGTACACTAAACATTCAGGTTTTGTTGGGTGGTTGCACTGTTCTCTGCCTTTCTATGCTCCTGCCAAGTCTTCCTTGCCAGAGCTATCCTTTTCTGCTTGTGATACTGTAACTCTTTCCAAAAGCTGCCAGTTATGATGTTGGCAAGAGTCTGGTGCATGCTGATGGAAAGGAAACAGTGAGAGCAGAGATAATTTTTCAGAGATCTCATGCCACATCACTACAAACACTTTGTAGCATAAATATTAAACTGAAAAGTCAAATTACTTTTGGAGGTTTTCTGGAAGGGTCCTTATATTGATGAAAACTCTAATGCCATTTGTATGTCTTTGAGAGACCTAAGTAATTCTTTATATAGTTTGAGTTTTGAGGGTGTATTAACTTATGTAAAAATTGTTTTGAAAATAAATCAAACAGTTTTTTAACACCTAGAGGTAGTGCTGCTGCCAGGAGGAATAAGTTCACTCTGCCACAATTAAAAATCTGCTGAGTTGAAAAGGTTAAGTGATATCCTAATGCTATAATGATTTGCACTTTTTCCTAATGGTTGGTTCATGCTTGCAATTTTCCTTAATGGAAACAGTGTGAATTCTGCTGGAATGTCAGGTTTTTGGGGAAGCTGAAACATACTTCTGCCTTGCCACCCAAAGTGCCTCACTTCTGTAGCGTTTTGGGAAAAGAAGGAATTTAAATGATGTGTGATGGTCAGTCTGAGGTTGTCACTTTTGTTACTTTGTTATTTATTAATTCCTAGATGCAGCTAATAAGAAAAGAAGACGTACATTGACATCTCCCACCATCACAGAAGAAATGGTAATTCTGAATTTCTGTAGTACTAAAACAGGGGACCCACACCTGTTACAGCAAAGGACTTGCTTATCAAAGTATTCTGACAATGTTCAGAAAGAGCTTTGGGAGTTCCCAGTAGGTATTTGTTAACTTCTCTGCTATTTGCAATTGCAATGCTTAAGGAGGGTGGTGTCCCAGGTGTTTGGCTTTTCTTAAAGCATTTCTTGCTTTGAAGCAGTTTTTGCTTCCATTTTCAAAAAAGAATGTCTGCAGAGGAATATTGTTAGCCATTCAGAGAAGCTGACTGCGTTCACAGAAATGTGGACTGCTTTTTGTCTTTCTGCGAAGACAGAAGTATGGTAACGATAACAGCAGTAAATGTCAGCATGATGGAAAAATACATTGCTTTGATTTTCTTACAGAGTACAGAAGAGACAGCAGAAGAAAACCATTTACAAATACTGAAAAGGAAAAACAACAGGCATAAAGGTGAGACTCACTTTGATAACAGAAGAGTTAATTCAGTTTTTACTGTGCCTGTGGAACTTTTAGCAGAGAAACAGGTCATACAAACACTGCTCCTCCAGCAAGGATAGTGGCTAGACAAGAAAATACGTGGCTCAAGAATGCAGATGGAACAAAGGGCTTATTCTCTGGGAGCCTGTGGTGGGATTTATGGTAATGGATAAATTGTAATATATATGTAGGGAGTGTATATATAAGCAACACTTCTAACATAGAACCATGGTGTCCATGTAAGGTTAGGAGTATTCCCTGCAGGACCTTGGGCCTGAAGAAAGGATGCTCTCTTTAACTTCAGTGTTAAGGAGCCTTATCCTGACATTTTGGACATTTGGTAGCAACTTTATGGAGCACCTAGGAGGTACTGTGATCTGTTATGTTGAAGTGTAGAGCTTGGAGATGGCTGGTAGCAAATTCTGTGCTGTAAATATATCTTTATGATTCTTCTGAGACAAGTGGCTCTGTACTCTGGCGTGGCAGCAGAAGTCTGATTTGCAGAATGCTTTAATAACTGTGCAGCAAACAAATGCCTGTGGTTTGGCTGAGTGAGACTTGCTGTGTGATGTGAGCTGGTGATTTATGTGGGAATGCCCCACTCTGGCTGGCTGCTGCATTCAGCTCTGTCTCCTGCAGACAGGGGTGCCTCTGCCTGATGCTGCTCCTCGGTATCAGAACGGTTAAATCTAAAATGGAAACCCTGGAAGATGTTAACAGGGGAGGTGCCCAGAGGGGGTAGCACATCTTGCCTTTGGAAGCCTGGGTGTACACAGGGTGCTTAACACAAAATAGGCTTTCACTGCGTACATACGGCGTTACAACAGTGAGATGGCTCACAGGACCTATCCTTCAGTGCTGCAGTTTTCATGTTACCCTGAAGCTTCTGCAGTTGCTTGTTGGGGTTCTCCTAGCACTTGGAAGTTTGGAATGTGCTAATGGTGATTATTCACCTCGCTGTGGATATGCTTAATGTATGGGCATGGTATTGCAAGTGGCTGCCCAGTGGTCTTTTCTGAATTTCATTACCACTGTAAAGAACAGGAAGTAAGTGAGATGGCATTTATTTCCTCACAGATGTCTCCAGTAAAATGTAACATTGTTTTTAACAGCGACTGTCAGACTTTTGTGAGCCGTCCAATGGCTCTTAGCTTTTGAACAGCCCATTGCATTGATCTTACTATAACTTGTTGCTGACCTGCTGCTCTGGCATAAAGAAAAAATGGTTATTTCTCTATCAATCCAAATCTGACAAAGTAGGTATATAAAATGGGCTGTAATAAAAAAGTTTAGTTGCCTAGATCACGTGGAGTAAAAGTAGCCTCAATTTTTACCAAATCTAATATTGATTCATTTATTTCACTGTTTTCTGTGCTTTAGCCTGTTCTGTCCATGGTGTGATCCTAAGGATTGGTGAAACAGCAAGCAAGACAAATCACTAGGGGGTATCATGAGCTTTAGGAATGGAACATTTAGAGTTCTGGAGCTGTTTGTTTGTGATGAATGAAGCCAAATCTAGAGCTTAGGGAATTTTACACCCAGCACAATGCTTACGTTTGCCTGGCTACTTGTGCAGTCCTACTGAAAAGGGCTGTGTGAGTGGCTGGAGGAGCCCGAGATCTGCAAAACTATTTGTTACTGGTGGAAGGGCTTTGGCTTAAATTTTAGTTTCTGAAGAGAGGGAGCAAAGCCCACTTTACAGATCACTTCTGTATGAGAATGCTTTTGTGTTTTAACAGTTCGAATAGACTTTGTTAGGAAGTGCAAACAAGCTGGGCTTCTGGATGACATATTTGAAGAAATGCTGGACACACTTCACCTGGCTCAGGAAAAACTGATGGATGACAACACTTCAGAAACAGGTATGTTTCGTGGGCACCCATGGCAGGGACTCTGCTGTCAGAGCAGAGGTGCAGATCTGAATCCCAGGCACTTGGCCCTGGGCCACCTTCCTGAGAATACCATGGTGCTAAATAACTCAGTCCTTATTTCTGCAACTGTGCAGGAGGTTGAGAATGACCTCCCCTTTTGAATGACCACTTACAATGAAAGTTCTAAGAAACTTCTTTCTCAAAATTATGTAAGAGCTGCCAACTCAGCATCTCTAGTGAGACCTTCTGACTTGAATTTTAGAAGCCACTTTTACATGTTGGCATAAGCATAGGAAGGTTCAGTCCAGCCTGTCCTCCCAGGGACTGGGGAACAGAGAGGTCCTGAAGAGAACCAGGTTTTATTTAGGTCATAAGTCTGTGTTGCTCTTGCAGCTTCACAGAGGTACCAGCTGTCTATTAATATCAGCAATCTCTTCTGAGTGAAAATTCCTAAGTATGTACATATTAAGGCTTTGGATGGTTTGTTACAAGTGTACTGTCAGCTGATAGTGTCTGTTTGGGGTTTTTATGCGTTTATGACCTTGTATGGGGTACTTTGTTTTTAAAGAAGTCCAATCTGATGTTGCTTTGTCCATAACACAGTTAAAGAAAATTTTGAGCTTTCCTCTCCAATTGTCCTCCCAGTTTTGCAAAGTTAGGAGTAATACCTTTGCGTAAAGAAGACTATTGTATGCAAAAGCACGTGCATGGAAAGTGAAATGTCCCATCTGGAAAGTCTTCCTTCATGAGCAGCTTGTGTGTCAGTTGAATTCTGCGAGTGTTTTGTATTTTGCTTCAGCAGAAGCCTCAGGTATGAAATTGAGGTGTAATTCTTGGATGTTTCTTAACAGCAAACAGGGATAGCTCAGTCCCACATGTGATCTGTCAGGAGGAGTTGGTACAGTCAGCTCTGCCATCACACAGTCCTGGCACACTGAAGTGAAATATTACTTAATTGTATTGCTCTTCTTTAAATGCACTGTTCATGTGGTGCAAACCCAAAAAGGGAATTATTTTCTATATGAAACTAAAAAGAAAGAATTGACAACTTGATCCTTTTTTCTCAATATAGATTATATGAGAAGGAAGACATCTTAAAACCTCAAGCAGTCAGTATGATGGAAAATAATTACTGTTTCGTGGTACTTCTAATGTAGGGCTCTGTAAACCTTTACTCAGTAGTGTTACATCAAATTATCTCTTTTCCCAGAGTATGAAGAGACAGTGATGGCACTGTTTGATTGTGGACTGTTTGAAAATATACTGACAAATATTTATTCAGGTAGGTGCAGAAAAGCTGTCAGAGGAGCAATTGGTCTGGGGTTTGGCATTGAATTTATTCTAATGAGAATTTTGATAGAGCAATCATTTAAAATGAAAATTCCAAGGAAATTTTTTTCTCAGTTTTATATAAACAGTTGAAGCCATGGCTAGCTGAATCCTTAGAAATACAGTATATCAGATAGGTCTGGCTGACCTGAAGGAGGGAGCAACTTACAGTTCCACAGCTTTAAAATGCCCAAGGATCTCCACCCCAGGGGGATTCCCCTCTCCTGCAGCTTATTTGGGTTCCTTCTCCACAACCTCCCTTCAGCAGTTTGCCAGTGCTACAGCTCTGCTGCTGGCTGACAAGTGCTGGTCAGAGAAATACTTTCCACTGAAACATAGCAGCCAAAGGGCAGCAGAACTCACCTGGACTGGGAGGGGGCAGTTGTGCTTTGAAAAACAAGATGACAATGCTCAGAGTGAAATGCAAAGACAGGAACAGTTACTTAGGAGCACCTGTGTGGAAGGAAACTGCGGGGCTTGGATTCTCAGCTGTTTGAAGCAACAAGGCTGAAGCTGTTTTTCAGGCAAGCCTCATGCTTCCCATTTCCCTCTCAAACAGTTGTTCTGACGTTTGCTTTAATTTATTCTAGTGAAAAGGGTTTTAATTAGTCAATGTTGAAGTTTGGTATGTGAAAATAAATGTTTGGTGTTTCCCCTTCACTTGACTGAAAAAGCCAGGCTCCTCCATTCAGTCTCCTGTTCTTGTATTTAAAGTCCTTCTTCAGCAGTTGGAGTGTCCAGTGTTGCAGTTGTCTAACACAAGGTTCCATCTGAGGACATTAAAACATGTCTGCTCAAAAATCCTCATGTGACACAACCTTGGGTCACACTTGTTTCTTTCAGTGCTGTATCAATTATTTCATCCCCTTCTCAACTTACAGGAAAATCTCTTTATATTAGCACCTCCCTGCACACAACCATGTGATTCTCATGGGTACTAGTTGTCCCCTCTCTAAATCCCCACAACTCAAGCAGCTCAATTCTTCCTGTGCCACACAATCTTCTTTTCTGAGACCATTTAATTTCAAGGTCAATAATAATGAGGTTGGTTCCAAAACTGATCCAAGAGGACCTCTTAAAATGAAGCAGTGAGAAAAAATGAAAACCGTGTTAATTACAAGTGAAACTGTAGTGGGGGAAGCAAATCACCAGCTGCTTTTTTTTTCCTTCTTTTTTTTGTTTATTGTTAGTGTTGTCATAACATCTTATAAGATCTATGTAGCAAGTCTCTGTGGTGACATAAGTCAAGGACTACATAAAATAAGACTGGTATAAATACTGTGTCTCAAGCTGATGATTTTGGGTCATATGCCATGGTTTAAATTCAATCTTTTTGTCACTTCTTGAATGATCATGCAAAACCTGTTCTAAAGCCTTACATGCCAGCACAGCAGCTACACAACTGTAGCTGGCGAAAGAGCTTTTTAAAATCCCTTTCTCTATACAGGGATCCACACTCCTTTTGCAGCGTGCAGCTTTACTGCAAACTCAACTGCATTCAAAACCTTCCACAGAGGATATGCTGTCAACTCAGCAGCAGTTTCAGATTTCTAGGGTGGAGGTTCTTTTCCTCTCCTCCAAGGGAAATTTACTTATTTTAGTTTTGCTTTCAGTTCTGTCATGCACCCTGCTTGGGCAGGATGCTTCCATCAGATTCCCTCTCTGTGCTGGTCAACAGTCTGGCCAGAAGCTTTTGAGCTCCTTGACAACATTTGTTTTCAGGAGGTTTGCAGCAGCAAATTCTGCAATTCAGATAAAGGTTGTGGGACAAAGGCCATGATACTTAATTTTAAAACTGTTGTGCAGTTCCTTCAGTGAGAGCCCCATAGCACTTGGGGCAGTCATTCCAGGTCCACATCCCTCAGGCCATTCCTGATTACAGAAATACATTTTCTTTCCCTTCAGCTCATTTCCTCTATGAGGTGGAAGGTTCCCAATCTGTTACCTGCCTTCCTGTGGAAGCATTTCTGTAGGCCAATCATTCCTATCATTGACATCTTTATCTGGGCTACTTTTATTTCTGCCACATCCTTTTGGCCCAAGAGAAACTTAGCTGTGTGTCTGAGCTGTGCGTGTTCCGTCTGTAGCTGTCCCAAATGCTGAATCAACAGGATGAGAGTTCTGAGTTGGAAGGGACCTGCAAGGATCACTGAGTCTAACTCTGAAGTAAGTGGCCCATATGGGGATTGAACCCATAACCATGGCATTACCAGCACTATGTTCTAACCAACTGAGCTGCTTTGTTAATTTCTGATAATTAATTCTAATCCTGATGCTCTCTAAGAGGGCTTTTTCCCTTGGTTCCACTTGTGCATGTCCAACTTCATCAAGTATGTGTCACCTGAGTGCAGAGGGAAGGGGCATCTCCTTCTCTTCAGTCAGAGCTAGGCTGTGGCACCAGGCCCCTCTTCAGTGAATGCTACCAGATTTTCCCATGGGCAGCAGGCACCAACAGTGCTCTGGCTGCCCATGTTCAACACCCACACACAGCTTTGGGTAATGTATTTAAAAATGTGTCCATGCCCGTCACCTTCCGCATCCACCCACAGGCAGCAGGTGCTGTGCTTTCTCACTACAGGGGAAGAAGCAGCAGGGAGACAAAAGGCCAAAGTGCTTTCCGTTTTTTAAATTTTTTTTCTTTCTAAATCAGTTAAGGCTCTCTTATTCTGAGTGGCATAGGGTAAACATCTGGAGAGGATTTCTCCACTCTACTCACTGGAACTTCGGAGACATCCTTCTACATCTTCTTCCCCAAAAGAGGAAAGATACATGCAGTTTGTACAAAATGTCTCCTTCTTACAAGAATCTGAACCCTCAACATTGTCACACACTGAGGAAGTAATTTGTTGTTATAGACAAGCCTTGCTGCTCAGAGGTCACCAAGACCTCTGTGTGTTCTCTTAACTGAACAAAGCAGGTGCTTCATTTAAAACTTGCAATTAACACTGTAAGGTTGTGGTAATACTTCTGATTACTGGCAGGGTTCCTTACTGAGCTCTCACTCATTTCAATAACCTTTAACATTAGGGAGAGGGAAGCAGAAATGCAGTCAAGCAGGGCTTTGCAAATAAGGTAAATAACTTGGTTAATCCCATCAGGATACTGTCAATAATGATTTTGCCAGAAGCAGAAGAATAAATGCTATTGAATTGTACTTTTGAGAGTCGAAGTCGTTGAATGCAGTTGTCCAAAGCATCTGTTCTTAGGTTTAATTTTGTTGTTGGTTAAAATCCATTCAGCTTGTAAATTTTCTTTAGGAGTGTAATTTAGAGATGGTGTCTTTAAAGATTTAAAATACATCATTGTTGGGGGAATTCTCACACAAATGGACTCTGAAAACAGAACCTTTACAGCTCATATGCCAGTTAACACAGGGGTTTAGTAGCTAAACTAGTAATTTTTACATATGTTGAGATGTTTTAATCTCAAAACTAGCTCTGTTATAGATGGATGGCAGAGTATGTGACTCCTGCTCTGTGCTTTCTCTGACACAGCATCCAGGCTCTCAGCAGACAGAGTTCAGCTCTTTGTGAAGACACCAGCTGTGCAGGGCCGTAGGTTACAAGCATTGGTGCAGAAAGCCAAAGGTTTTATCGTAGGTTAAACCAAGCAGTGGTAGCTCTGCAGAGTTAATGAATATGTATTTTATATTAGTAATACTTATGTATAATATTTAAATGTTTTTATTCCTTAATAATGAAAGCTTTATATCCCTTTTTCATAATAGGAACAGAAGAAAAAATCCAGAAACTTCTGGAAAACAGAAAAAGACTGGATCACAAGATTGAGCTACTGCAGGACTTAAAAGAAGCCATCCTTCCTACTCCAGAGAACACAGCCAGTACATCCAGTACAGTGTCTGAATAACCTCTCTCTGCGATGGTGCAATTGTTAGGATTTTCTAATGATAAAAAACCAGAGCAGTCTGGTCAGTGCCCAATTCCCTAAGATGAGGGCTGAATGGGTGCAAGAATGTGGTGTTACACTCCTTTTTATACCTCACTTTTGCAATAATTTCAAGTCCTTCAAGTTTTCAAATTTTCATCTTCAAATTTTTGCCTGGTTCCACTATAAATTTTCATTTATATTGCACAATGGAATATAAATGAGTGTTATAGACCAAATTTAGCTTTTGCAAAAACTGAAGAGAACCCTCCAGGGAAGATTTTTTTTCTCAAAGCCAAGGGACTGTTCAGCTGCCATAGAACACTTGCTAAAGTAATTTAAAACTATGGGAGCCCTCTCCTGGCTGGGCAGTAGCTGCTTCACTGTCTGTCTAGACAGTGATGTTTGAAGGATCATAGTGCTGCTTTGGTTTTCCCAAAAAAGATAAATGAGCAGAAGTTGCACTCAAAGAAGGCTTCTGGAATTTAAACAGGAGTTTAATTTAAAAAGCCAAATTATTCTTCTTTATTGATGGGTCAAGGTGTACTGTTTCTGCTGCAGTGGCAGTGGTAAAGCAGTGTTTGCAGGCAGACCAGAAAGCGTTGGGCATTCAGAAAAGATACGATGTCAAATGGGGCAAAACAGTGACTGGATCTTCCTTTATCCATTAAGAAAGGGTTCAATTTTCATGTGTTTTGTCTTTAAAATATTGTTTGAATACAGAAATGCATTGTTTAGCCACAACAGGCTAAGTTAATGAAATAAAACATTTTTTAAAGGAGCTGTGCGTGGAGTTGTGCTCCCTGTCCCTAAGCTGCCATACAGGACATGCCCAAGAAAAGGGAATGCTGTCAGGCTGTGCTTTACCCAGCCCTTGGCTGAGGGAGAAGCAGAGCACTGGCAAACACCACTTGGTGTGGCACATGTTACAACAGCTGTACTCTCTCCATAACCACTTGGAATTCCTTCTGTAGGAAGGTGGGCATTGATAAGCACAGAGTAACAGCATTCAAAATGAGCTCTTGAACTATAAGGTGCCTGATTCAATAAAATAATAGTGATTTTAATTGCTTAGAGTTCAAGTCTGCTGCCCTTCTGGGCCTAGAAACATCACCAGTTTACTGCCCAAGGCCAGGACTTGAGTGCCACTGAGCCTAAAAAAAAACCCCACCTAAACCAAAAATGCAGTAATAAGCTGTTATTAAACACAGTAAGAATGATAAGGATGTCCATACATACCTTCTGAAGGGTTACAGCCACTTAAGGATAACTTAGTATACAAAAATCAGATCCACAGAGTGAACCACTGAGGTCTAAAATTAGTGCCTACAAAGAAATTTTTGAACTTCTGGAGCCAAGATCACGGGGTATTTTGTCAGGCACAGTGAAATCAGCAAGATTCATCGTATAGCGTGAGTTGGGTTTTGGCTTTATTTGTTGTTTATTTGGGTTTTGCTTTGTTGTTGTGACGAAGCATTTTAAGTGAAGCAACTTAGACACTGCATCCAATATAAAAAGCTTGCAGTGTTCTTCAAAATCCAAAGTCTGCTAGTGAAGAGGTACAAAAAAGTGATTTTTATTACATGTAGTTTAAATTTAGACAATAATTACAAGTAAAATCCCACACAGCTTTCCCTTCCCCCTCCAAGGGAACCAATGTAATCTGAAGACACTGAAGAGTGAAATTATTTCCATTAAGCGTTATAAATATTGCTTAAACAGATTACACAGTACACATACCCAAATATAGAGATTTACTTCAAATTAGTTTTCCTAGTTACTCCTTTCTTCAAAGTCACTTGCGTAGGCTTTGAAGATGCGTCATTTTTGCACACTTGAAGCACTGGATACACTTGGTTAATTATACACAGCAAATGGCCAATTCATTCACAATCATGCAAATGCAGGAAGAGATCACCATGCCATTTGCTTCTCCATAATCCCAGGGAGTTAATGATTTAAATGACATCATTCAGTGGCTCAGGTCAGACGATTTTCCTACCCCAAACAGTAAATTGGAAATATAAGCAGGCGGTGCTAGAATGGAGATTTCCTAGGCTGGAAAGGCAAGTCCGGAATGCCGGCCGGAATCCTTTGCACACTGCAGCATTTCCTCTCTGTCTGAATACTTGAGCTGGATCCACCATCCTGGTTTGTTAAATGCAAGTGAGTATTTTGCTTGACATTTTTACAACAGTTCACTCTTGAGCACTGAAAACATTTGTTTTCACTGTGGCCTTTCACATTCTGTGATGGAAGAGACCACATAACACTTGCCTGGACCCACACAGTCATGTTGTAGCTGGAAAAAGAACCCCACAAACACCTTGACTTACGGCCTCATTTTTTCAGTTCTTAAAGGCTCCACATTTACTGGCTTTAGCAATAAATTCCTTTAGCAGGGGACCATCCATTTGCCAAAATGCTGTAGTTTGTGTCACTTCTGTCAAATGATTGACACAAAACTTAAAGCAGAATTCCTCTAAATCCTAAAGAGGGGGGAAAAACAAAAAGAAGAAATGTTATCTTTGCTTTCAATCACAAAAAAATATCATTGAGGCACAAATCCCTGTTTATGTTTTATTTTTGCAGCGAATTGGACAAACACACCCAGTGACTGTCAGTGTTTCCCCCCAACAGTCACTACGTAAATGCAACAGAAAATAATGGTTCTACCCACATATGTCACTACATAAACGCGGTTACAAGGGGAAGTAACCAAAATTTGTTTCTCACTATACAGCAGCAGTCACAAAAAACAGCTGTTCTGAGCCATATATATTTTCAGTTCTCACACTTTGAAGAGTTTCAGCTGCATTCTCTGACAACTTTGAAACTCTAATGTAAATAGGAGATCTTGGGGTAATGATTTATAACCAAGACTATGGATAAAGAAAACTCAGCTCTTCCCTTTCACAATATGAACAACTCTATTTGTAAGGTTGCTTGACTTCCTTCCTGCTTCTTGAAGGGCTTAGCTAGAGCCTTCAAGTTCCATGTCCCCAGGCTCAGTGCAGGTGTATCCTGACTGGATAGTTTGTACAGTAAAGATTAGGCAGAAGGTCTTGCTGTGCATTAGAAACAGACTCTGCTACAAAGTACTTCACAGGGCTGTCATTCAAATGCAGTACTGGAACACAGTGCAGCACAGCAATCCTTGCAGAAAGTGGGCTCTGGATATTTGAGTTTATTTGGAAGTGCCTCCCATGTAATAATTAAAAAACCCTCACAACCCTCATTGCACCCAGGTGATGTCAGACAGAGAGGATGCCTTAAAGAGCACCAAAAAAAAAAAAAAGGCACAGTCCTTGTCAATGTAAGGTTCCTCACAGAACACTTCCCACTCAGATTATTTCCAACTCCTCCTTTGAGGAGGAAATCTACTCTGTGGTGCAGATCTAAGCTGCTCTAAGGAGGATGCTGCAGCCCTGACAAAAGGACAACTGCTCACCCTGTTCTAATTTCTTTAGTAGATGTTTGTAGGACTCTGTGTATGTGAGAACACACCCTTCCTTGGCTGCTCAGCAGACTGGGAACTGCAGGAAGGCATAACAAACTTGCAGAAACTCTAAGCCCCATGAGGTAGGAAAGACTGAATATTCATGTTTTCTCTTAAAGTCAATACTGTCACTAGAGCAACTGTGTATGCCAATGACAGTTCTTAACACAACAATAATATAATAATACATCCTGGCCTAAAAACCAGTCATTCTGAAGCTGCAGATCTTGACTTGTGTGGCATCTGTGCAACAAAGAAAGACAAGCTTATTAGAACTGAACACTGACAGTTGTGGTACTTTTTAATAACAGAATTAACTAGCATTTTAAAGAAAATTACATCATACACGTTACAATATTTTGCACTGCTTTATTAAAAACTTCATATTCCAAGTCAATGCAACAGAAGCATACAATAAACAGAATTATTGTAGTATTAGTAACTCTGGAAAATAAAAAGTTTTGTATAAAAAGAAAGGCTAAGTTTCATTTGCAGATGGATGAGCTCCCAGCAAACTGGACTTAATATAGACTTAGGCGAATAAAGGCACAAGGTACACCTAAGGATTATTTTAAAAGCTACAATGAGAAGTTAGCCCTGACCTAATTTGAGCCACTTCAGTCTGTCACCAAAAGAAATTGCAGGAGTCATGGAGGTATTTTAAATTAGTGAAGCAGCTTTTTTAAAGTGTTGTCTTCCAGGCACACACCCCCATGAATGGACTACATCAGCCAAGCAATTCCAAGCCCCCTGCCAGCATTGCAGCATGTAAACTCAACTTTTTGATAAAGCCCAACCTCTCAGCATCACCCATTCTCTCCTGGAAGCAGCATTGAAGCCTATGGTTCTAATTTGACTTAGCTAAGGAGGCACAGGTGAGGCAAAGTAACTGGATTTCTTACAGCCCTTACAGGCAGAATCAATCACACACCAAAGACCCATCCTGCAAACCATCTTTGGGGGACAAAATATGGGAATCTTCCTATTTTTGAAGAAGTTCTATGAAAGACATCACTATTCACAGTACATCAAAAGCCACAACACAGACACTAACACAGCCTTTGGGTAAGATCTATCAAACAAGCATCAAGGCTTCAAGGCTCTGAAATAAGTTAGGGCAGGCTGCATGCCAGCTGCTGGAAATTAAGCACAAGAAAAAGCAGTAAGTGGATTTACTGAGTACCAAAAAACTGCTTTATAAACATAAGTAGCAAGTTCAAAAACCAACCAATTGCAAAGTTGCCAACACAATGGACAGATACTGCTGAACACAAACAGCCAAAGCAAGCCCAGGAATACTTCCTCATTAGTTCCTAAAGCAGCATGTTAGGGATCTAGTAGTGAAGTCAGACATTCCACAGTGAGGAGGTTTCACTCCCCTCTTCACACACTGTTACTCTGTCTTCAACATTTATAAGGCCCATGAAGTAGTTCCTAGCCTGACACTTCATTAGCATATTCTGAAGACTGGAAGTGTATTTGTACCTAACAAAACTAAAAAGCCAAAAAAACCCCACCCCACCAACCAAAAAAACCAAAAATCCCAAATGCACTCAAACACCAACCTACCACCATGTCATCACACACAACACACAACCTTACAAATAAGTAACTTAAGGCTTACAAGCCTGCTTTTCATTATGTTGCTTTTTCTTTCTGTTTACACTCTCCCCTTGTTTCAGAGTTGTACTTCCATCCTCAGAAATATCTGTGTACTAGTTCACCTTCCCAGTACTGGTTTATAAGGAAAAACTAAAACTAAAAAAATGAGATACAAAAACTGTATTTGCCATGAGATGCAAGTCCAAGATTCTCAAATTCTGAAAATGCCAAATAGTATTAAATGAAAGTAAGAGAGAGCTTATATGAAAATGTAACCAGCTGCTTTTCTCTGTAGTTTAAGTCAGGAAGCAGCCACCCATTTAAGAGATTGAACTTTAGAAGTTTACCTCTGCATCATATCTGACAGCAGCAGAGAGCAATGAAAATGCATTTTCCACAGTAATTCCTCTCTTGATAATGTGCTGACACAGTTTTTTCAGTCTGTTCTCACAGTATGAAGTAGCCAAATCCAAAAGTCCTGCAATTAAAACATCATCGTATCAGTCAGGTGTAAAATGACCTCTGCTCTTTCAACATCTGTTTCTGCTGCTGCAAAGCTATGTATCTCTATAATGTAAAAGCAGGTTACTATTCAGAAAATGCAGATTAAAAGCAAAGAAAGGCTTTATACTATCTCATTCTGTGCTCCTGTTAATCTCTGTAAATATGAATGCTGTCCT